GCCGCTACTGGAGCTAGTCCACACCTTGAACTCTTTCATCGAACTACATTACTAAATTAATCCAATGGAATTCCAAATTTATCTATATCAATCATTTGGCTAATTTATAGGGGCTGCCACTAAAGCTTAGTTTTTACCTTCTTCTCTCTTTGTTTTGTTCTTTTGCTTACTGTGTATTCTCTCTCATTGCACTATCACATCTAGTCTATTGCTTGCATGACTTCTCACTTTATATACTATCTGGCTTTTTCTACCCTCACTCACTAACCACTGAGGAAGGACTATCGTTGTCCGAAAGCTTTTATTCTATTTCTGGCTGTTTACCTACGTTCAAGGGCGCAGATCTGTTTTGAAAGGTGGGTGGGGGAACCTTTCGTGAGACCACACCCACCTCAGCCCCACCATGGTTGGCTAATGTGCGAAAATAGTACCTCTAGATGGCCAGAAATGACACTTTTATATAGTCAAAGTCGTCATCATCACATCACTATTGTAGTCAAAGTAAAGCACCAATCCAATTTCTCATGATCTTTTATCAGCGATTTTTGGCAATCAGAGATCTAAATAACCCGTGTGATGTACCATGTTGGGGCGGATGCAGGATTTGGCGGTAGGGGTGTGTGAGAGCCCACTATAACCAAAGAACTTAAATAGCAGAAGAAGGCGCTGCTCCGCGTATTTCCATTAAAATCGATGGAACATTCGCCCTCCTGTGGTTGCAGTAAACTTTGAACATTTTACTAAGTGGAGAAACTAAAGGAAACAAGCGAACAAGAGCAGCGCCTTTATTATTTTTATATAGCGCCGCCGCGCGGTTGTAGTAAAATTGCTCTCCGGGTACCCACAATGCCTTTTGAACGGATGTTCCACTATATTGGGAAGCTGCTCTATCTTCTGCTATTTATTATCTTTGCTATAACCTCAGTCCCACCACAGGCTGAGGTGGGAACATTTTGAGAATATGGACCTCTAGGTGCCCGGAAATTGCACTCTCATACTTTTAAAATCCTATCAGAATTATGTTCATGAAGATAAAAAAATAATATATCAACAATATAATAAAACAATTATTAATTTTCTTAATACAATTTAGGGGGTGCGATCGTCAAAATGAAGTGCCAACAAATTTCCCATGACCTTTTATCAGCGATTTTTGGCAATTCATAGAGATCCAATTAATATATGTGATGTTCCATAGAAAATGAAACTTTTTCTTTAATGCATTTACTTTCTTTTGCCTACGTCTTCAATGCCGTGAGTCGACATCTACCCCAGCCAATCCATGGCCGAGGCTGACAAAAGCACGCGCACTCGAGTCGTGTATTCGCGTCGTGTATTTACAGGTAATTCAGACGTTAGTGATACCCCAAGATGTACAGTACTGTATTTAGGCTGTATAGTGCTTTTTCGCCAAAGCCTGGGTCATTTATGCAGTTCATTTCAACAACTTTCAGGCATCATCTTTACTAATTACGGTAAATTGCGGTTGAAACGTTGGGGGACCAACCCCCTCCAAAATATGTGGGAGGAAATCTTTTTCCTTATTCACAGCCTCAAGTATAAAATTAAAGGGCAACTGCCACTTTTTAGACCACTCACATAATGCATTAATATCTGACTGTAAGCTTACACTATCCTCATGTGAATCCACAATTCTAAATAATTTTGTTATCAGCAAACAGTTTTACCTCTGAATCTGTAACCGAGGGTAGATCATTAATAAACATTATGAAAAAATTGGCCCAATTACACTCCCTTACGGAATCCCACTAATTACTGAAAACTGACCAGAAAAATGCCCATTTACAGAAAATCTTTGTGTCCGAGCAGAAAGATACGCACCAATCCAAGTAAGAAGTTTACCACGGACACCAAAACTAAATAATTTTTTTTAAATAATCGTTGATGCGGGACGGAATTGAAAGCTTTCTTAAATTCAAAGTAAATGAAGACAAAGCTACGGGATTCATCAATATTAGTACTCCACTGTTCAAGGACTTCAAGTAGCTGGGTTACGCAATACCGACCATTCCTAAAACCATGCTGTTCATTACACAACAGACTATTACTTTCTAAATGATCCATAATTTAAACACAGATAATCCACTCAAAGATCTTACAAACCAGAAACGTTAGACTAACAGGTCTGTAATTAGATGGACTATCCTTCTTACCTTTTTTAAAAATTGGGATGAGCCACGCTTCTTTCCAAGATTGAGGTACAGCACGTTCATTCAAAAGTTTGTTAAATATTATTGATAGAGGAAAAGAAAGCTCATAGCGAAGAATGGAGTTAGTGTTATGCAGCCACTCAATGACCTGTCTCTTATACACATCTAGATGTGTATAAGAGACAGGTGAAACACGCTATCGGAAGACGGAAGGTGTTAAGAAGAATATTTTATCTTTCTATTTCTAAATTAAATGTTAATAACTTAAAGTGTAATATAACTTATAGAAAGCAAAAGAAAATCCCTTACGAAAACAAGATTGCGAGAGGGTTTACAAATATATCTGTAATTTATATTTTGATTGCTAATAATGTTTGATGAGTGATGAGAGTGATAACAAACCAAACAAATGATATTAATATTAAATAATTACATTAGTCATTAAGCACAGGCTCGGTGTAATTATTGTAATGATAACAGGCTATAATAAGGTCGTCGGTTGATTTCCCTATAGAATAATTATTCGAAATTTTATTCGCAAGTATTTGGAAACGAAGTGAGTATTTAGTACCACAACACGTCAGGTAGGGCCGTCAAATTAACATTCCTAATTTAAATTTATTGTTATTGTTTATTTGCTTACGCTTACCTGAAGTACACGAAACAACTTGCAGCAACAGTAACAGCTCGATCTTTATATGCTTCATACTGAAGTTTCAATGACTACCGCTGTTAAATTCTAACATTTTTATAGTTAAGTATCTCACTCACAAGACTGGTAACATCACTGGTGATTTGTATGATTATTTGCACAAAACAACATATGCAGAGTTTATCAGATTACTGTAGGCCCTGTCTCTTATACACATCTAGATGTGTATAAGAGACAGCTACAACATATATAAATACAGAGATCAAACGTAATATATTAATATGATAAAAACGACACTGCGGATTAAATAAAATAATAATGTGCAGACGTTCAAACTTCCATTGCGATTGTAAAAATATCGTTAACAACAAAAAATGTATGAGTCAATATAAAATATTTAATATTTTACCTTCAGTTGTAACACTGCTATAATCTACAGTTGTACCTGTAAAGAGATAAATATATTTGAAACTTTAAAAGAGACCTTTAACATGTTTTTCTAGAGGGAATTTTTGATACGTCATATTAACAGAATAAACTGTATTATAATATTATAAGTTATAGCTCTTCTAGACTGGGGCCAAAAACAACTCTTATATTATCATAATGTAAGAATAGTGGTAGAAAGGAGTTTGTTCGTCACTTTTAAGCGTTTCTCGGGTAGAATATGTTTGGTCACTTTTAAGCTAAACAAAGGCAGTCCAAGCAAAAAGGGGTATGTAAGCTTTATTTGTACATAGTACGCATCTAGGTGAAAAAAACACCTGCGGTGAGGGAAGAATCATCGCACTTGAAAGTGTAATTAGTAATATAAGTAACAGAAATTTATTAATTATATCTGGGGATTTCAATGTAAAGACTGACTCTGGTTACGAATACTTTTCAAACATAAAAATGTCACATCGCACCACATGAATTATGCCAGAACGAATTAATAAGCATCTTGATCTGAATGCCTAAATACTAAATTAAAAGAAATGAAAGTGACATATGGAGAAGCTGCAAATACTTAAGAAACAAACTTAACCAAAGAAGACATCAAACATCGTCGTCAAAGTCTTAGCGATATTAGTCTTTAACGAAATAAATTGGAGATATAAAAATTTGTTATACCTCCATAGTATCACAAACAAGAAACTTACAATACAACTAATTTTAATGCACGGTATGTGACAAGTAGGTCTACCTATCTTTCTCTATAGTTCTGAACTCTGGACCATTGGACCATGACCAAAAGTCTGAAACTAAAATCGACATTTTAAACGGAAGTTTATATAGCAACATATTAGGAGTTCAATGGTACCATAAACTCAGAAATGATGAATTATACAAGCAAAAGAAAGCTAAGGAAATGGAGCATCTCGATTAAATGGAGAAAAACTGACATGGTACGGTCACTTGCTTCGGCTCCAAAGAAACTCCAGCACAGGTCACTCTCAGAGAAAGCAAACAGAAGAGTTAAAAGACTAGTGGAGTAGCCTAAATCAATTTGGCTAGCAAACATAAACAATAAAGAATTTTGAAACATAAAAAAATCACAGACGGATCAACACACAGTTTAGCCGGTGACCGCACAGGCTGGTGAGAGAAAGTGAAACACGCTATCGGAAGACGGAAGGTGTTAAGAAGAATATTTTATCTTTCTATTTCTAAATTAAAAGTTAATAACTTAAAGTGTAATATAACTTATAGAAAGCAAAAGAAAATCCCTTACGAAAACAAGATTGCGAGAGGGTTTACAAATATATCTGTAATTTATATTTTGATTGCTAATAATGTTTGATGAGTGATGAGAGTGATAACAAACCAAACAAATGATATTAATATTAAATAATTACATTAGTCATTAAGCACAGGCTCGGTGTAATTATTGTAATGATAACAGGCTATAATAAGGTCGTCGGTTGATTTCCCAATAGAATAATTATTCGAAATTTTATTCGCAAGTATTTGGAAACGAAGTTAGTATTTAGTACCACAACACGTCAGGTAGGGCCGTCAAATTAACATTCCTAATTTAAATTTATTGTTATTGTTTATTTGCTTACGCTTACCTGAAGTACACGAAACAACTTGCAGCAACAGTAACAGCTCGATCTTTATATGCTTCATACTGAAGTTTCAATGACTACCGCTGTTAAATTCTAACATTTTTATAGTTAAGTATCTCACTCACAAGACTGGTAACATCACTGGTGATTTGTATGATTATTTGCACAAAACAACATATGCAGAGTTTATCAGATTACTGTAGGCCTACTGATACATGTGAATACATTTACCAGAGACAGGTGCACTTAATTGCTATGTCTTGGTTATCATGTTTAAACAAATACATTACTCTACCTTTAATAATTATACGGTGTACTTCAGGTAGGAAAAGTGATGATTATGGCATCTTTGGTGGCCGGAAATGGCACTCTCAGACTTAATTTGAATATAATTTTATTTTTTCTCCATTATTTCATAATTTTGAAAAATTTAGGGGGACCCGAGCCGGCTTCCCACCCCTATCCCCTTTGAATCCGCCCTGTTATATGTCTTTCTTTTGTTTTAATTTTACTCAAATCCAACCGCAAGTACACTCGCTAGTTATACAAGATAAATTGATGCTTTATAAAGCAATTCTATTTTTGAGGCTTAGGGAGTGGACAAAAATTCCTGCCTCCACTTCATATTTCACTATAAAATATATATATATATATTTAATTATAACGTGTTCCACACCACTATTAGCTGACAGCTTGAGAGCGAAATATGCTTAAAATACCAAAGCTTTATATACCGCTGCGAGTCATACTCTCTTACTTTTATTCAACGATAACCATCAAGCAATACTTATAAGGTTATGGAAATGCCCCAGTTGGTTAAGTGAGTCGCCATATTAAGCAGGAGGCCTATATTTAGTATTTACATAATGGATAATATAGAATAGGCCTACTGTATGTGAAGACTTTTTTTTTTTTTTTTTTTTTTTTTTGCCATGCAACGTATTTTATACTTTTGATATGGTATTGAAATAATATTACATCTCAGATTATATTAATCTTCTTTTAACAATATCAGGGACATTCCATGCATAATCTGTATACCGAATGCTCTTGAACGTTATCACAACTTCATTTAATAATCGCCATTGTCTATTATCATTGTATAGCTTCCTGGCAGAGATATAAATTCTTACCATATACCAAAATCCCACGGTACTCATTAATTTATATCAGACAACGTACCTGTTGTATGATTATTCATTTAAATCAGCGGAAAACAACATGAGACAACAACTCCAATCACCATTACTTATCGCTATCGTTTAAGTACTCGTCAAGCGTATGGTTTAATGCCCGATAACGTGACATTCTTTGTCAATGTGCATTTCTATTGGTAGCGTCAAATACCCTACCGCAGATACTGTCCATCTGTGCTACATCAGTGGCATCGGTGGGAGGGTTGGGGGGGGGGGCTTGGTGTGGCGGTAGGAATGGAGTTAGTGTTATGCAGCCACTCAATGACTATAGATAATATTACATTCATGGCAGTCTGGATCACTCCGAAATTGAATTTGATGCTTGTTAAGTTTTCGTTGAATGAGTTTTTAAACGCACGTATAAAATCATAAAGTACACAGTAAATGGCGATAAAACTGAAACTGACAAGTATGAATGCGCTAACGGCGTTCCATAAGCTTCTCCCACTAAGCATCAGGGTTGCCATTTGGCCTTTTTGACGGCCAGATTCCTCAAATCTGGCCGTATACAAATTTGTCTGGCCGTAGCATTTGAAAAGTCACGGCCAAACTATATTTGGTCGAATTTGGCCGAATTTTTGAAAAGTTTACATTTTTTTCAATATAGGCCTAATATAACGTAGACTTTGTTTTGGATATTTTGTTTTTGTTAGCTTAAATTCTATATTTGATTCTTGTCTTGCACCTTTGTTTGTAGGCCCTACTTGCACTAAACACTTAATCTAGGTTCCCCGATTCAGTCGGATTTGACGTAAGAGAGTTTATTTAAAAGATACCGGTAACAGTTACATTTAATAATTTTAATTGTTCGGATGAAATATATTGTTTATGAAGTTTATCCTCGTTTAAGCTTTATGAAGACAGTTCATTGCAAGTTTGTACCATATATTGCGTGTCTTTGTATATGTTCCATCTTCTTTTGAATAGGCCTATAAATTAAATACTGTACTTTAATTAATTTATTATTGCCCAATTGAATTATATAGCCCTAGGTGCCCGTAGTGTTCTTTATGTAGAGCGCCATATATAAATGCTCGATGTGATCATTCGGGTCCGATGGCACCTCCAATTTCAAGCAAGTTTTGAAGAGACTTCTTCGAAGTTACTCTGGAGTTAGGTTGCATATGAGAATGCAGAAGATAATTCTGATAGCAACATTGATTTATTGCTTTAAGTACTGCGACAATAACATTCAGAGGCGAATTTAGAAGTTTAGATAAAAAGTATTTATTAAAGTTTACATAGGTTTGTTTTAACGCCAGTTTGTGTTACCTAACTATGTAACTTAATTCATTCTAATTAATTGCCAATAATAGGCCCTTAAAGTTTTTGCTATAAATCGACTACAATGTACATTAATATTTAATACATTTAAATCAAATTTAGATGAATCTTAATATTGTGATTTTAAATAGCAGAGGTGGAAAAGATAATTCTGATAGCAACATTGATTTATTGCTTTAAGTAGGCCCTACTGCGATAATAACATTCAGAGGCGAATTTAGAAGTTTAGATAAAAAGTATTTATTAACGTTTTCATAGGTTTGTTTTAACGCTAGTTTGTGTTACCTACTATGTAACTTAATTCATTCTAATTAATGGCCTTAAGCGTGATAAAAAATCTTAAATCCATATTAATCCAAGGCAAGATATAGAAATTTGATACTGTAAGTTCATTTTGGTTTTTATTCTTTTGCAAGATTCTTTAAAGAATTGTTTACCATACTAGCCTAATTCTAGGCCTATTAATGATGATGATGACAATGACAATGATGATGATGGACGCAAGACTGCATGACCGTTTTCATATTTGCAATATGAAACCAATTTCTTCAATTTTAAATACATTTTGCCCCGAATTCGTGAAAATTCGTTATCAAGCATAGACTTGATAACGAATTTTACCTTACACAAACATGGCGAAAACGAAAAGAATTGAAAGCCTTACAATTGCGAATGATATTTTTGGCCTCGTTGCGGTGTTTCGAACTTTTTTTAAAACGTCATTTTGTAATTTACTCTGTAATTTGTATGGTTTTCTTTTTACTTGTCTTCTTGTTTTGTATGTGAACGCACGGTGTATAGGAGATGTGTATAAGAGACAGCACTTTCGCCCAATCACCTCCTCTTTTTTCGGCCCCGGCCCTCCCCCTTTGGGACATCTCTGGATTTGCCTCTAAATTGGCCTGCATGCCAGCAACTAAAGAACATAGGCTATTTATTTTTAACATTGTTTTGTGTATATCATTTGAATTTCTTCAATTTCAAACTAATGACCGCTGATTTTCGTATAATTTTTGTAGTATTTCAAATGAATGTACCCACTGTTGTCTTCTAATCGGATTAAAATCTGGCCGAATTTTGGCCGATATTGAAAAAAAGTTTGGCCGAATTTGGCCGTGAGATGGCGTGTGTTTGGCCGTGAAGCCTGTCGACTATCTGGCAACCCTGCTAAGCATATTATCATACATTTTCGCATTCGCGGGAAATTTCAAAATAGAGATACATGTGGAATAACATTCAGAAAAAGTCAGAAATATAACTAAGTCTTAGTCCGGGAATTTCAGGAATGCAACTTCATTGAATATAGAAACGTTCATAGTAAGTCAAAATTTATGAAGTGAAGTATGTTTGTGACGATTACATGAAATTAGGCCTAGCCTAGAGTAACAGTAGCCTAGGCCTAGGCTACGCCAGCCAGCCTACCCGTCGACATCACGTAGGCCTAGACCTAAGCCCTCATAAGATAAGACTCACTCACTCGAGTAAAAACTAGGCTAGGCCTAGTCTTATTTTACTGGCAAGCACATAGAGTAGGCACAACCACAGGGCCTAGCCATGGACCTGCATAATGAATTGCTACTACAAGTACTACTGGTCCTGGTATTAAGACTCATTTTTTAGCTTTGTGTGCTTCATCCTTTTTTCAGTAGCAACCAGCCACAATGTCATGGGATGATGTTGAGATTGACTTCGGTGGTGATGAAACTGCCAATTTTGGACCTCGTCAAGAATCAGGGAGTGCATTGTACCAAGTGGACACATTGGCAACAATCGGTTCCAGAGGGGAAGTAAGCAGGTGTTGCTAGCTAGGAGACTATCATCAGCAAATAAATTTATTTTTAACTTTCAATATTTTGTTGTTAATGGTTATCAAACATTCAATAGATTTAGGTGTTCCCTCATCTGTTTTTGTAGGCCTATTTCATCATCTGCATACCAAACTGCAAGGCTACCAGTGCATATCTAGGGGTGCCCAAAATTTGTCACTAACTCCAGTTGTATGCTCCTTAGTTAAAAATCACCTCACGTTACTTAATTTTGCGACCTAGTTCCCCTCATGTAATTATTAAGCCCCCTCCCCACTCCACCTTCGCCCCACCCCCATTTCAAGACTGTATGCCACTGAAGCCTTGTTTAGTCCTGTCACGCCAAAATAGGTCCGGCGGAAAGATTTTGGCCGCCAAAGTCTGTCAGTCTGACAACTTTTAGCCCCAAAAATAGGTCCACCGAGTCGATTTTAGCCGCTAAAATAGGTCCCCCTTCGATAAAATTGGTCCGTCGGCCTGGCTGCTTGTAACGCGTTAGCTGCCCGTGGGGTATGATTGTTTCTCCCGTGTAGTGGAGGGAAGTAATTTTTGTTTCTTCCACACTTAAGAAATCTTTTGCCGTGACAGAATGATTCATAAGCTTTTGGACGCGTTTTATCAAACACACATGGTAATGTATTTCCTAGGCAACACACAGCATGCATAATTTTCGGCGGCCGTGCTTGGCTTCGGTTGAGCCTAAAATGAAACACAAGAATAATTTATTAGCTTTATATATTATTGTGTGGGGTATTAGGTTATACAATAGTTGTTCTATTACGTGAAAATAAAGGGGTCAATAATTTCTTTGATATGATTGCTCATGTATTTCGTCGCGGCGTTAAGCAATCACAAAAACAAAACAAGGTAAAAAATAAACTAAGGCGGACCAACACGATTTACGATTGTATCGTTTAACCTTTTTTCTAACTTTTACACCCAAGAGTTTACTGGGCACGAAGAGCCAAAATAACATTCTGTACTAAATTTTGTGGCTGTATAATCAAAATTGCACATGCAACAAATGAAAAAAATATTATATAATAAGAGATGAGATATTTATCTATCATTTGATTAAAAACAAATATGAACAACGCTAAAAAAATACAGGTTATAACAACTAAATAGATGCCGGACCCATTTTGGCTTATGTGGACTACATTTGGTAGCCATCTTAAAGCCAAAATCGGTCCGGCGGATCAATTTTGGCCCCGTACCAAATTTTTCCTGACAGGCCTATAAGACTTTGACTTTTTTATTTTATTTACAGATTGTGAAGAACCCACATTTATTTGCTAGCAGTTCTCAAGAAGGATTCTGTGTTGCTGCTGATGGCCAATTGTCACTTTTTGATGATTCATGTCATAAATTCCTTGTCACTTTAAGCTTTGGTAAATAGAAACGACAGTGACATTTCCTTTTATTTTCTTTCAACATAGATGAATGAAGGGTTGAGTTACAGTTTATCAAATTCTGATGAATGAATACATGATTTGATAATGTTCCTTTATATCAGTTAAAAGTTATGTTGCCTTATAATATGTATACTTTATTAACACAAGTTTTCAGAAGTTTGTTATGATACTCTACTTCCAATCTCATGCTTCCAAGCAGGAGGCGCAGCGTGTAAGGCATTGGATTTTAATCAGAATGTGGGCAGTTCAAGACCGATGCCCGTCACATTGCTCGTGTCCTTGGGCAGGACTCTTTATCTGCATTTGTCTCTCTTCACTCAGGAATATAAGGGGGTACCTGAGTTGGAAGTGAATGATTCAGAATGAAATTAGTAGTGAGGATTACACACATAACTGGAAATATTCCCGGGGAGTGGAGGAGGGTGCACCGTGTGTATGATTGATTCTGTAAACAAATGACCAGTGAAAAAACTCCTTGATCTGTTTTTGTAAAATACTAAATAATTAACAACTTCAAGCATTTACAGGCATTATAATTCATTTTATATTTCCATATGAAATTACAGTATGTGATTAAAAATTGAACAATAATTAATTTAAACCATGTTTTATTGTAGAAACCACTGTTGATGCTGTTGCCTGGAGTGATGATAGCAAATTTTTGGTTGTTGCTGAAAGCAGCGGAGTAATTCACTTTGTTGATACAGGAATTCAACGTACTCTTTTCTCACAGGTGTGTTGATTTAATTTAATTATTATCATGATAATCCTATTTGTTTTGACTCTGGGTGAATATTATGTGTTAGATGCATGTCTGAGGCAATAGTCAATCAAAATGGTTGTAGTAGTGACATATGTACGTGAGTAGAGTGTAAAGGTGGAGCTTACTTTTTGATTGGTAGAATTATCCATGCCCATCATTAGATGGGCATGGCTGACCAATCAAATTGGTTTTACAGTATTGGTGAGTCCATGTATAAATACATTTTGGTGGACTAAGCCTTTCTAGTTGCAGGCAAAATTTCACGTATACAAAGTGAATTGTAAATAATAATACCTCATTACAACATTTTTTATTCCCATGGGTTATACAAAAGAAACTTATACAGCCATATTAAAAGATCTAATGAATTTACTCAATATTTATTTAAAATGTTGTTTTATCCCAGAGATTGGTGTCCAAAGGGGAATACGACGATAGTCCATCCTTCAGACGTCTGATTTTCTCATCAAAAGGTCACATTAGTAAGTACTGAGTAGGGTGGAATATAGGGAGAGAGAAAGAGAAAGGAAGAAGGGAGGGAGGGAAGGAATGAAGGGAGGAAGGGAAAGGAGAATTAATGATAAGGAAGGGAGAGAATGAAATTTTAGTGATGAGACTGATAATGAAGGGGAGGGGGAGAAATAAGGAGGAGTGATTACACAAAAGGGGAAGGGAAAGACCAGTAAAAATGAGGACACCAGTGAGGAGGAGATATAAAGAAAATGGAAGAGGAACTGAGAGAAAGAAGGAGGGGTAAATGAGATGTGAGGGAGAGAAAGGGTTATGAGGGAGGAAGTGAGAGAAGTTAGAAGGGGTGATGACACTGTGAAAGAGAGGGAGAAAGTATGCTGAGAATTATAGAAGTTTAATCACACTGATGAGGAAAAAAGAAAAAAAATAAGTTGTTAAAGTTATCTAATTCTTATCATGATTAGTTCATCATGAATCCAAAGATTTAGTAAAACATTTTTCTTGTACCTGTGCCCGAGGTAATTCTATGAATTATGCAGCAATAGAACGTGCGAGCAGCGAATTACTTTTTTAACAATCCGTTCAGAATCCCACCGTCGTGTCGTGTACTGCTCACAGAGAGCGGAGTAAGATTCAATCGATCGTGTTTTCAACGCATTGAATGTCCGGCGTAACTTTTTCTCTCTGTCTACTTACCTAGATACTTGTGAGTTACTTGTTCTCGCTTGTAATGGCACACTCTTCAGGTTCAGCAACATCAGTTTGTCCAAGTTGAATGAGGGTGAGTTGCCTAAGATAAGCATAAGCTTTCATTTCAATCTATTTATTATAAAATTGTATTTTATGTTATTGAATAATTTTTGTGGCTACTGCGCTTTTGCGAAGTAGCAAAAAGTAGCCACTATGCCATCGAAATGTTTTTCCAATGTAAGTGATGGTAACTTTTGTAAGTCTTTGATCATTAGCCGACAGCCAGTCAACGTTCAGGATTAATTTTGCAAACACGTCCGATCAAATAATGGTTAAAAAAAGGTTGCGAGTAATACTCGATTCTACCGCATGACAAAACCAAACAAAACTACTCGACTAGTGTTTTTGCTCTGTGATGTCAAGTGTAAGTTCTATGTAGGTAGGCCTAGATGTTTGATTTCACTAAATTAGACAATTGTAGGCCTAGTTAGATGTACTGATTCTGATTCAAATAAGTAGTATTAGTAATTATTGCGGTAGATGAAAATTTCATTTTGGGTCTGTTTTTTCCGTCGGATTTTAGTTTAAATTACTTCAGTATAGGTTAGCCTATGCTGGTATCTGTCATTGGCCCGCCAGTCAGTCGTCGTACAGAACATCGTCGACTCATACCAGCCCTAGCTAGTGTAGCTAGGCTAGGTCGTCCACAGAGACTAGTAGGCTAGGGCCTACTAATTATGAAGGATGGCGCCAGAATTTACTCGATGTGGTCCGATGTCTCCGACAAGAGCAACATGCACATGGTCAGGCGTCGCCTACAATCTTTTGAAATGGGTCCTGGTGACGAAGCCCCAAAAAATGTTGGATGAGTGCAAAGTAGTGAAAAAAAACAGTCAAGCATTAGCCTATTAATTTTTAGGTTTTCAGAGCTATTATCAATCTCCTGTGTGAATATATAATAAATAATTTTTATGTATTTTTTTCTCAGCTATTGAACAAGGCAATGTGGTTTTGGCAAAACAAGTATGTACATTTACAACCAATAATTCTATTTATAAAGTTATTTTGCACTGCATTACCTTGCTGTATTTAGGCTAGACTTTTTTATACCTTGTTAGTGAACCCTCCAACCGCCAAAAATCATTAAAAAAAATCATATTGCAAAATCATTGCTAAATGACAAAACAAGTTTATATTTTAATTTTTTTCTGCCATCCTTTGATGATCTTTAAGTTAGCAAAACAAGGTATAAAAATGTTTGGTCTCAAGTGTGTTGCAAATGCCCAATTAGCATTACCATAGAAAGTGGCAGATTCAAGGGGTAGGGGAAGCCAGCCTGGGGCCCCCTAAATTTTTCTAAGTTCTAAAAATTGAGGGAAAAAAGGAAATTATAAATCAATTTTAGGTCTGAAAGTGCCATTTCCAGCCATCTAGGTGCCATAATCATAAACTATGATTACGGCAACTTTGGTGGGGCTAAAGCGGTCCAAACTCTCCATATGTGAAAGTCGTTCTCTGGGCCCCCTCTATTTAAAATTCCCGGATCTGCCACTTATAGATCTATCTCAGATATAAGCTCATCCCGTACTTAATGTCCACTTTCATATACTGTACCAGCGTTTCCCATTTGAGTGTCAGAAAAAAAAAAATTGAAGATTGACTTTAATTGGAATTGAAAATGTGCCATCCATATGTAGAGTTCAAAAAGTGTTTTCAGGGAAATTCCAGCTAAAAGAGAATTTTTGTTACTTTTTAAATTTATTGTCAACTTTCACTGGGACAAAAACATCAACAAACGAATCAGTATGGCAAGAACAAAACAGGTGAACAAGCACCCCAACAAAGCCATTGGATAGATCTAACTCAAAAATAATTAACATTTATATTAAAAATATATAATAATAAAAAAATAAAAAATAAAGATTTATCCATATTTATTTATATATATGTTCAAGAGATGCATGTTATAGTAGTAATGAGTATTAAAAAATAAAAAAAAAAATTTTCAATTCTTACTAGATTCAGTCGAGCATACAGATGGAAGTAATTGACACGTTAGCCGTCCATACCGAGGGCACCGCTTATTTTTGCACGGCCACACTCGGTCGCAAGATGTTGATTGTCACTTGCGTAAGTATTTTCATACTTGAGTTGTATTGTAGTTTATACATGCTGAAAAATATCTTAGCGTTTACAGTGCTAGAAGCCATAATTTTGTTAGGGGAAATGTTGAACACTATACACAACTTAAACTATTGCATTCGTTTTTTTATTTCTTGCATTTAGGGATCAGGAGATTCTATTGTTGGGGTGTGGAGTAAATACAACAAATCCACTAAACTGAGTAAAGAACTAGGAGGAGCAATGTTTGAAGGTAAGCTGCATTTAATAAACCCAATTTACATCTCCTCTCACATGTTGTAATAGAAACCCTTAAGGCCTGTTTATACTTGCAACGATATGATCTATAAAAGCTAAAAAGCAATTGTTCATATTGTTCATATATAGAAAATAAAAGAAATAAGAGAAATTTTTACACTAGGATGCTTCGATAATGATTTATCCTGTATACGATAACAAAATATTTTGACAAATCAATTCAAAATTGTCCAAAAACCTTCTTAAGCTTTTCTTATATGCGGGTCGCCTTACACACAAGTATATAGGGTATTAGCTATTTTACAATTTCTAGATTTAAAAAGAATTTTTTTTAAAATATATAGTGATTAATTAAATTATGGATATAAAAAATAGTAATTATTTATTTTGGTTATTAACAGATTGTCACATTCAAAGATGTCAAGTCTGTCCAAGCAGCAATTACCTACTACTGCTTGATGACCAAGTAAGTTAAACAAATATCTGACTGATTAATTGATTAATTAATTGATTGATGGTTGCATTGACAAAAATTACCAAATAATTTAATGAAAGGTAAACCTTAATCTAAAACAAGAGTATAATATAAATTAGGATTTAAATCAAACAGCAACTTTTGAATAATATCATTATTTGGAAGAAAGAATCTATAAAAAAAATGAACCATAATACCATTTCATTTTCATTTTATGTATTTCGTCGAAAAAACATTAAAATTGACAAACACAAGTTAACAGAGAGCAAAAAACAACACTTAGTTGGCCGAACAGGATTGCCAAAAAGTGAACTGAATCACTGTGTAGTGGCTCTCTGATGCCAATGAGAACATAAATTAAATTAGCATAAAATATTCAAATATATTCATATACCAGTGGCAGATCCAGGAATTAGAAATAGAGGGTTACCAGAGAGGGAGTTTCGAAGATTGAGGGTCTAAACCGCCTCAGCTGAGGTAAGAAAAATAATGATTATGGCACTTTTAGTGGGCTGGAAATGGCACTCTCAGACAAACATTTACTATCATTAAATTTTCTTATTATTATTTAAATTTGAATGTAATTTTATATTTTTCCCCATGTTTTTTTATTTGAAAATGTAGGTAGGGGGAGACCCCACCCCTCCACCCCTTGGATTTGCCACTGATTGAATTTCTCATTTAAACTAACACAAGAATAACTTGACTTCCAATCCGTCACAGATCAAAACAATTTGGTTTTCCTAATTTACTTAGTACTATAAAAACCTTTAAGATGTTTACCAGCCAGATATATGTGACACACTCTAGTAAAAACAGCCCTTTAGATGTTTGAAATCTGGAGGTCAAAAGATAATAATTGTTAAAAACAGGTAACAAATGGCAAAGATATGATAATTTATATTTTCAGTTCAACATGCATTAAGATGGTCAATACTGTACATGGGAATTTTAGCTGATTTCCACACTTTCGTTTTTTATGACAAGTACAGTCCTGTACCTGGTTTTGCCACATAATATTATAAAAAATATGTATTTTACAGTTTTTTTCTGCAAAAATAGTTAATTTGTTATTAATCAATCAAAAAGGGTTTGTCAATAACTAGAATATTTTTCTTTTGTGTTCCTCTGTCAAGTCTGCACTTAGTGTGTGGGATTTGAAGAGCTTGCTTCTTCTTAAGCTCTGGAGCGATGTAAAGGTGGATGAATTCCTCCTAATGAGTGGTACCATGATGCAGTCAACCTCCTCAAGTGGTCAGCAAGTTGATACCAGGTTGGTTTTAATGTCCTCACCTGGACATAATGGACACCGTAGCCTTGAAGTATACATCCTATCATCTTTTAAACTGATCTATAAGCTTCAAGTCAGTCAGCATTCATTCTTATCAGAGGCCCTTTATACTCAGGTTTGTAAGAGTAATTATCAAAATGATTCATATTGTTGACATTTTAAATGCCCCTTTGAATAAACGCCTGGGGTATTTTTTTATAACTTGAAAACACACCCCCCTTAAATGATGCTACACAAATCTAATGGAAGCAACATCATTCTGAACACAAGTATTAATGTTCTACTCCTGTAGAATTCCATTTTTTCTAACCTGGCTGGGATCAGTAAGTCTTTATGATCACACAATAACACATTTTGATGGTAATTATGTGTCGTACTTCCACATTTACAGTGGAATTAAGGGGCATTTATTTGAGTATATACGTATCCATTTTTCACCAAAAAAAAAATAAACGCCTCCCTCAAATAAGCACTTTCCTCAAATAAATGTCCCCTCAAAAGCCTTTCTCAACAATAAATGCCCTGGGGCGTTTATTCGAATAAATACGGTACATATATTTGTCAAATTGATTGTCAGATTCATTAGGATCTTTGTTAATTGTGTGCTGTTTTGTTTTCCTGTGCATGGGATTCCAATTTTACTTTTAACAATAAAAAAAAAAATTGAAAATAATATAATTTTCATTACAGTACAAAATATAAACTGGGGTAGTGGTTAACAATGTGTGCATTAAGACCAATGTTCTCAAAATGACAATCATCATTTCATTTATATACTTTTTCACAGGGAGGAAGGGGCCACAGGAAGCAGTATAATATTTAAACCTTTGACCTCAAATTTAAGAACCCAATTCACAACCAGTGTTCCTACTGCTCCAGTATTTAAAAAATCATGTAAGTCATTGTTGAGCCTTACAAAGACCATTAGAAAAAAATGCAATAATACTTTTGATTCAATTTTTTTTTTCCCAGGAAATGATCTTTCTGATAGAAGGTGCCAGTGAACGAGATGAAGACACCGTAAGCTCGTTGAGAGTACGTTGCTTGACGGAAGCCTTGCCCGAGACCAGATTCCAACGGTTGCTGCACAAGCACAAATTTGAAGAAGCTGAGAAATTTGCAAGACTTTTCAACCTGGATGTTGAAGTAAAGTGTTGGTCATTGTTTTTTACTAAATTGTCTCATGTTTAAGTTTTTAGGCAGTTATTGAAGGACGGTTGTGGACTCAAAAAACTTACGTGAACTTGTAATAAACATGTATCTGTTAAAGTAATTTTTGTTATCGTAAGGATAAAAATACAAATAATTATATAACTTTTTTTGTTGCATAACACAGCTTGTATTAAAGGTGAAAGCCACAACCTTACTTGAAAAAGTAGCCCCTTGGAATGCAACACTCCTTGAAGATGCCCAGGTGGTCTACGATGAACTTCTCAACTGTCTTGGCATGATCCCAGATGAAGCATTTGTTGTGCAGCAGTGTATTGAAGCTACTTTTCCATCCTTTGACGCCACTTACAGACTCTTAGATTATGCAAGAAATAGGGTAAGCAGTGTGCTCCCAATTGAAACATTTTTACGGGTAAATTTGTCCATCCAAGTTCAGCTGTGCTCGCGGTGTGAGGCGTTACCGCTTTTGAGTGGTGTTCAATGACTTGAGAAACAAACTCTGCATAACAGTCATAGCCAAGGCGTAGACTGGAATGATGTTGATTTATTGAAAGAAGGCCTAGACTACCTAGGACTAATCAGTGTTTTTTTACAAACACAAAATTTTTACTGGTTGACAGGTTATTTTTACCAAGTAAAATTGATGGCTAAAATGACTTCGGGAGAACACTGGGTCAAATACACATTCGGTTTAATTTTTGTATGTATGATAGCTCAGCAGTGTCGGATCCAGGGTGGCAAAAGGATAAATGAATTTTTTCTTGTGTATATACAGTAGGTAGAATGTGAATTCTTTTTTTATTTCCAGCTGAACAGCATAACAGGAACCATTGTATCTTCAGAAGATGAGAAAGCCTCTAAACCAATTTTGATGACAAAGGTAATTTAAAAATGTATTCTTAGATGTTTAGTTGACATATAACATTTATTGATACTAATATTAAGTTATTTAAGTTATTTCTGGCAATATAAAAATAAATATAAAAACTGTAAGCTTATATGCTACTTAAAAACATTAAATTATAAACACATACATTTTACTTCAGACATCCATTGTCCATATTAAACAAATAAATAAAACAAATACTGGTATTTTAATGTCATTGATTAATGTTATTGTATTGATATATGTTTATAGATCACAGAGGCATTGCATCGGCTCTGTACATTCAAAATAGCCTATGGGAGCGAGTCATTCAGGTAAAGTCAGGCCAAAGTACAATTTTGTTGTTCATCTTGAGTACTTCCTTCTGCTTTGTTCTTCAAAGATTTTCACTGCTTCCAACTTCTCCAGAATAGAGCTGCCCATTGTTTTTCTGAGCATGTAGATCTTATCTCGTCAATTCCCTTTTCTATCCACTTGTTTTGTTATGTGTTGAAAAAAATAACAAAATAAAAAAAGTGGATAGGAAAGGGAATTGACAAGATTTTATCTTGTCAATTCCATTTTTCTATCCACTTGTATCTTCAGAAGATGGAAAAAGCCTCTAAACCAATTTTGATGACAAAGGTAATTTGTCCCTCTCCCCCAACACATACTTTTCAGATTCCATCAATCTCCATCAGTCTCACAACCTAGAATTATCTTAGAATTATCTTTCTTACCAAGTTTTTGTTGCTGCTGCAACTTATCTTTGGAACTCCATCATGAAGAATAACAGGCCCAAAATTAACACCTCCCCCACCCACAAAAAATGACTCTGACTGCAGGTGACAGTCACTCGCCCCTCTAGCCATAAGTGTACAAATATTATTGAAGTTAATTTGTAAACACCTACCTGACTAAACCGAATAATTGCTTTTGTCCCTGAAATGAAATACCCCTTCAAATAAAGTAGAACATTCTGGCCCAGGGTGCCACATATGAACTGTCTCCATAACAATAATCTTCATTCCATAGAGATCCAACTGACCATGGAGAGGGTAGGAAAGGAGGGAAGGTTATCAAGTTATCTCACTCATACACCTCCATCATCACGATTGATTTGTGTAAATTTAGATTTCGTTTTTTATTAATTTTTCTTCTTAGTGGTGTTGGATGGGACAAGTTCAGAAAAGCTGATATTTTTGATCAGATACTAAAGCACCTAACAAAAGCTGAAATCCCAACAGCAGTCAAGCTTTGGACCCGGCATCAGGTAATAATTAATACAAACATGTAATGAAATTACAATGTAATATAATAATACTATCTTGTTATCTAATATTAAGCAATTAGAATAGTTGCATATCATACACTATGTGGAAATTATTATAAGAAGTTTGGATTAATGCAAGAAAAAAATTCCTGAGGGCCGATATAATTGCTTAAGTATTTTCAATAATTGGGCTCAATCACTACACGATCACCATCGCAATAGGAATTGAGGGCGGTATTTAAACTCGCATTCGTTGCCTGTGTAAAATGTGTGCAGCTGGGATCAACCCGGTTTCTTTCGTTCCATGTAAATGGAAAATGCACCTGGGATCACTCAGTAATTAACACATGTTATTCTGACCTTGGCAGTGTAAAGGGGGTATAACATTAGGAGTTGCTGTGATGATGTCACGATTTACTTATAATGTGAAATATCTAACATAAATATAAACATATTATTCCTTGCATATTACCAATACCATGAGAGAAAAAAAAACACTAGGGTGTATAGGCCTACCACTTGGCCTCATAGCATATTTGGTAGAGTATTTAAATGTTATTGTAGGTGATGAGTCTTGGGTTTGAATTTCCAACAGAGACATACCGGTACTCTTTTCTCAACAATTTATTATCATCTTTGATTACCACCAATAGAAGTGTTTATTTATACCAAAGTTAATGTTATGTGATAAACCTTATGTAAATTACTTGGAAGAAGATAGGTGACTGTTAAATCTTAAACTTAAGAGATTTTTATAGCATCGTCATTTAAGATGCCTCACAAATTACAGTACATTCCTCAAAGCAAATTCTGCCATTTACAGCTAGTACATATTCTACTTCTAGACTGCTTTAAAAAAATTGTTCTAATTGTGTTTATTATTGGTTTTTTGGAGCCATTAAAATACAATTGATATTTTTGTACTAGCAATAAATATACATAAAACACATTACAGTAATTACAAAAGAGAGAAAAGACTCTTTTTGAGTTACATTGTTTTTGTTTTATTTAATGCTGCTTTTTGGAAATATACATATCATATAGAAATTTTTAAGCTGCTAATGATTTAAAGTCACCCTTGGTTTAAAAAATGTATGTAATGATTTAAGATTATTAATTGTTATTGTCGTGATGGAATAATAGACAATAACTGGATTTGCGTCAGGAGAAACATGTATAGGTGTAATTTGGCCCTACCAGACGTGGAAATGTACCGAATACTCAGTACAGTTGAAAACAACTGCGAAAAAAAATTATTCCATCACGACAATAACAATTACTGTCATCACTGCAGTAACCCGCTGCTTACTTGGACTCGAATTCAACCCTGGCCATCAGGCGCAAGCTCGGTGGTCTAGAGGTATGATGCCAGGCTAGTGATCTGGAGATCGTGGGTTCGAATCCCACCCGAGAACAACTTGCGATTATTTTTCGCAGTTGTTTTCAACTGTACTGAGTATTCATATTCATATTCATATTCATTCATATTTATTTATTCACACAATGCATAAAGGTGGTAACAAGACATAAATAATAAAGATGCAAGCAAAATCGAATGCAATTGTGTCTGGAGAAGTCAAATAAGCCTAAATGGCTTTACGGCTGGCTCCACCAGAAAAAAAATGAAAAGTAATTTGTTCCATAATCAAAGACAAGACAAAACACGACGGAACGAACACAAGGGAAGAACGACAAAGGAGAAACGACAATGCTTTAAAAAAAAAAATAAATAACACATACATAGATTTGAACATTATAAAGGTAGACAAGTGAAAAGAAGATAAACTGGGATTGGATAGGATGACACAAATATGATTTAAATAAAGAAGATTTGTAGAGTTAAAGTCTGTAATTAGATATGAGGAACGATTTATATTCTGATTTAAAGGAATAACTACTTTTCGAATTTATTAATGATGTGCTGAGGGAGTTCCATAATAGGGATTCGGTACATCCATAATAAGTATTCGGTACATTTCCACGTCAGGTAGGGCAAAATTACACCTATACAGATTTAAGAATATGTCATGTAATGACAAATAGTTTGTGTGTGCTTATGTAGTCTTTTTGTATTTTTTTTATGTATCTTTTTTGTGTTGTCTTTAAATTAGTCTGACTTTGAGAGTACAATAGAAGAGGAACAGCTCAATGTCATGATGCTATCTATACCTGAAAACACCCCTTCGGCAGAGGTGATACCATGGTTACGAGAGGATCTCATTCCTTTTGTTCTCTACAAATTTCCTCAAGGACAGGTGAGTATATTTTTACAGGTTTTAAAATATTTTTCTATTACTGTATTTATTTCTATTGCCAATGTATAGTGATGGAAATTATGAATAGAAGAAACTGGTTAATTAATGTGTTTTTTTTTGTTTTTTTGTTTAGAAATGTATTGCCACATGGCTGCAAGAAAAAGCCATTAATATGGAAATTTCAGAAAAGGTGAGTTGACAGATTTTATGTTTCAATTTAATTTCTCAATTAGAATTGTATTTTTTATACTTATCATCATAAAAATTTTGATATATATCACTTTGTTTTTTTGAATAGGCTGGTTGGCCAGCAAATGCATTGGAAGTTGCAGATCTGTTCTTCTCGGCCAATCAAAATGGCTGTTTTATAGATGATGGTAGAGGTTTGTACACAGCTGCTCAATTCTCAACACAGGTGTGTTTATTATTTTTTTAAAGAAATATTAATGATGTTGTATGGTGGACATACATTAAAAATTTAATATTTATTATCTAATGTAGGGAGCGTGTGGTTTTGCTTAAGGTCTACTTCTTGTAGTGGTATTGTCATTGATGAATTATATACTATGCCATCCCAATACCAGTATCAGTTGCAAAAAAATGAAAATTGTCTTTTTAATATTTTTATTCGACTTTCTAATGCCAAAGTTATGAGTAAAAGTATTACGGCTTCTCTCTACTAAAGTATACAATACTGCCATTCTTATGCTAATTACTCGACAGTACGCTATTAATGGAATGGCATGTCCTCATATATCTTTAACCTTTCAGGTCTGCAATTTATCGTTGGGTGGATTTTCCAAAACCATCAAAGATAAAGAGGTAAATGGAAAAATACATTTTAGTTTTAATTAAACTATTATATTAATTTCATTATAAAATAATTAATCGTAATTTGTAATATTTATTTGAAAATGCTGCTGGTACTATAAGTTGAATAATACCTGTTTTTATCAAAGGGTGTGAACATGTCCGTAGAAGCACTAACACATTTGAAAGAGCTTGCTCAGAATCTACGTGAGTTGTGTAAACTTCACACAAAGTACCGTTGTAAACTTACACTACAGGATTATCTGAAGGTTAGTGTATTTACGTTGGATGTATTTGGATGTATGAGTGACTGTAATAAGCACATACATATATATTTAATTGTATTGGATTTATTTGATGGTGTGAGCGCCAAGGATAACCCATGGACGTCCGAAAGACTTATTTCCATTGGGGTCCACTGGAAGGCAATCCCCTACACTTTCGAAGAGTGTACTGCATTCTTTAACGTGCACATATGCCGTATTGCACATAGGACCAATGGATTAAATGTCAAATGTCAAGACGGTGCACGTTTTATACTTGAATTTCAACCCGTTAGCTGAAATACAAGTAGAGCGACGGATTGAATTGAACAAAGTACTAAACGATCTTCACAGTTCGGCATACACGCAGTGGCTACCACTGAGCTATCCTATGCTCTACTCTGGGGCTGGGAAAATTACAAGACCTTTTTTTTTGTTTAATAGGTTTTAAATCTTTAATCCCGAGAATTTATAGCAATATTCTTCATTATTTTCTTACTGCAGGAGACTACCAACAGCCTGGCGTATCGCATGCTTGACCGAGTAAAGGTGGCCAACCTTGTTCAGCACATGCTTGACACGGTTGTGCGACAGTACATGCGGGAAAACAACCTACCTGAAGATCAGATTCTTCTACAGTACATTGAGGTATAAAACTAACCTTAATTATAAATTACATGATGTTATTTGTAAGATTGTATCCATTGGGGTGCTTCTGGGGCTTAAACATTCTCCTTTTAAAAGCTAAAATCTGCAATCAATCAATTTAATTTTGTTTGTATTTTGTTCAGTAGATATTCAGATTCAGATTTATTCACACAGCACATAAAAGTGGAAGCACAACAATTAAATGATATAAGACTACACGTAAGTTTGTCTGGAGAAGCCAAGTAATAAGGGCTTTAAGCCTGTCTTCACCAGAGAAAAAATGTAAACTTTAAGCAATTTGTTCAAGGGTCACAGACAAGACAAATACTTTAATCTAAACTCTCATAATTAGACTTTGGGAGTGGAGTTGTTGGGACACTGGGATTAGAAACCAGCATCTTATCCGCCATATGAAAAACCAGTAGAAATAATGATTTTTGTTATGATTTCTGGTTGTTAGGACTTGATTGAACGTTATGGCAAGCAGTTCACTTACACATACGAGGCATTGTGGCTTGAGAAAGCTATTGCAGTGGTGGAATGCATCAGTGATGTTGAGGTAAGACAAAATGTGCATGGAATTGCTCTTTAATTAATTTTAAATAACTTTTAACATTAAATAACTTTATATTACTAAAAAAAAATAATTTTTTATAGTGATTTTGTTAATGAACTCTGTTATTGTATGTATTTATTTTCTATAGCTTAAGTGCACTGCAATATTTTTGCTGATGAACAGTGTATCATTTCCCTGGAATGATGCAATGAGCAGCCTGGTTCAGGTTGGCCTAGCTCTACAACACCCAAAGTAAGTTGTGTATTAGAAGTGCAATTTAAAGTTTGTCTATATGGCGATGGTGACAATGACATCTATGAAAATGATGGTGACAAGGATGACAACAAACTGTAGCATTGGTGAGGATGGGGACAGTGATGATAACTAACTACAAAGAAAATGGTGACAATGATGACATCTAACTATGAGAATGAAAATGCTGGTGACAATGATGACAATGAACTATAACAATGACAGCATTGTCACAGCATAGTGACAATGATGACAACTACAGTAACTATCATTTTCATTTCAAATTCAATCAAATTCTACTACAATGAAAATGGTGATAATAATGACAACTAATTATGGCAATGACAATGATGGTGACAGTGTTGATGTTGATGAGAATGATAAGGACATTGACAATGTAATTTTACTAATAACAATGATCTTCAAACTACAGTGCTATTAATAATGATCTTTTTTAAATTATATTTTTTAGGGTGAGCCAACTAAAAGAGAAGCACCTCCTACTAAAGCTGAAGGGAATGCTCATCAAATATGGCCTCAACAAATATGATGTCAACAACTCCGGCCAGGCTCAGGTACTGATTGAACAAAATGGATTAGAAGCTGGATTGGCCTACTAATTTTTTTATGCACTGCGTGTACTGTAGAATGCCGTATTTATTCGAATAAATGCTTCTTCGATTAAACACCTCGTCAAGAGCCTGATTTTGAATAGACGCCTCCCTCGAATAGACACCCCAAATAGTTCATTTTTTTTCCTCAGATAAAGGCCCCCCTCAAATGGTTGTAAACAAATTTAATGGAAGCAACATCATTCTCAACAACATTCTATTAATGTTCCACTCCAGTATAATTACATTTATTCTAACCTGGTTGGGATCGTCAATAAGTCTTTATGATCACGCAGTGACACATTTTGACGTTAATTTTGTGTTGTAGTTCCACATTTACATTACAGTGAAATTTAGGGGCATTTATTTGAGTATAAATACATATTCGTTTTACTCATAAGAAAATAAGCATCTCCCTCAAATATACACCTCTTTCAAATACACACCTCCTCAAAAACGCTACTTAAATTCTCAAAAAATCAAAACTTTATGACAATAATACTTTTTTTTGTCCTTATCATCAACAGTGGAAACAAACATTTGTGTGTTTTAAATGCCAGGTACATAAATGTATTTTATTATTTATTGTTTGTTTCTTTTTAGGATGTTGTAAATTTCATTCTACTGAAAGATACGGACACAGCGATAGAGGATGCTCTTGAGGTTGTCAAAGCGTATTATCACCTTAAAGAAGAGTTTGTGTACATGTTCCGACTACGATACCTGATAACCAATGACAGGGTAAGGCATACTTTGATTCATTTAGACCCATTGTGGAAGCGTGCGATGCAGCGCATAAGACGTTGGACTTTTAATCAGAAGGTTGGGGGTTTGAGACCGATGCTAGTCACACTGCTCGTGTCCTTGGGCAAGACACTTTATCTGCATTTGCCTCTCCTCACCCAGGAGTATGAATGGGTACCTGGTAGGAGGTGAATGGTTTGGAATGTAATTAGTAGTGCTGATTACAAGCATAACTAGGAATACTCCCCAGGAAGCGGGGGAGGTTGCACGTTGTGTATGATTGTTTCTGTATCTAATTACCATGGCAAAAAGCACCTTGAGTAGTTTTCTGAATATATGCGCTATATAAATCCTATAAAATAAATTTGAAAAGTATTTAAATTCATTTTTGAAACAATTTTTTGACAATAAAAATATATGAAATGGTCATTAATGAAAGAAACAATGTATGACATTTGGTTATAACCATAAAAAAGGAAAATATTTTTAAGATAAAAGTCACGCAGTATTATTTTTATGTTTGTTTACATTTAGATAAAGCAACTATTTATATTGAGGTAATTATATTGTGTGATTTATAAAAATAAGGCTATGTCTTTAACAAAAAAGGAAGAAAATACAAAGCCACAATGGTACTCTTATTTCAGGAGCTTTAGGGCTCCTGAAATATATTGTTTTTAGGGGGAGATTTTAGAACAACTGATTCTTTCAAAATTTATAAAAGAATTCTAAAAATATTAGAAATTATAACATACCTAGATCCCTGTTACTTGATTGGTGGATTTCGTATCACATGACATTGGTTATATACACCATTTCGTCACTCATAAAAATTAGGTTCCATCCATGCATTTTTAGTTTTGTCCCATTGCATGCTGCCACCTAATACAATGTTTTCATTGGTTGAAAGAAGATAGACTGTTCCATTATATTAAATTTTAATCTACCTTTTTTCAGATTGAAGAAGTTATTCCGTTACTAAAAACTTTGGAACCAGATATAGCCACACATTGTTGTAGAAAGATTTTAACTTGGACTTTGGTACGTCTTGACCAACCGCAAGAATATTTACTGGATGAAGAGGTTTGTCATTGTTGTCAGTGATCATTATATTTATGCAAATTTCATCTCCCCTGCAAAGTATACACCTATTGATGATGATAAAAGATATTATTACCATAATATTTTCCGATGGGGTTTTTCTTGGTGGTAGAGTGGTAAAGACACCAGACTAGTTACCTGAATGTTGTGGGTTCAAATCCCACCCAGCTCTGCTGGCACTACCGCTGATCCCACCCAATTCACTAGCAAGATTTTTTTCAAAAGTATTTCAGAATGTACTGAGCATTCAGTACTATAACACGTCAAGGTAAACATCGATTCGCATAATATTTTTATTATATAATTGGTTGTCATTACAGTATTTCTTTTTAATTTTCTTTCAAGGATAAGCGAGAACAAGTTTTAGTGACAGAAGCTTGTATAGAAACAGTAAATTACCTAATGACCTTTGACCTGGAACCAATAGAGTGTGAATATCTTGAGGAACTTGTCAAGAATCTAGTTAAAATTCTTGCCTTACAGGTAGATTTTTAATAGTGATTTACTAGTTTATAAATTGGTGAATCCTTAGTAATTTTTTTTTTTTTTTTTGAATATTATTAGTGATATCTGTGGATTTTTTTTTTTATATAATTGTGGAAACTGTTTTATATAAGATGAAATGGATCATTATTTTTTCATAATTATCATTTTATTTATTTGTACTTTAAGGTTGAATACCAAGTATTTATTTCAATGGAAAATTATCAGAATGAACAAATAAGAAGAGACGTTCTTACAAAACATGTTGTGAAGTTTTACATGGGGAATGAGACTGTTGCATCTATCAAAATGGTAAGGGAATGAATATGACAGATGATTGGGGGGTGTGGTTGGATCTATCAAAATGGTAAGGGAATGAATATGAGAGATGATTGGTGAGAGGGTGGTTGGATCTATCAAAATGGTAAGGGAATGAATATGACAGATGATTGGGGGGAGGGGTGTGGTTGGATCTATCAAAATGGTAAGGGAATGAATATGACAGGTGATTGGCGATTGGGTGGTTGGATCTATCAAAATGGTAAGGGAATGAATATGACAGGTGATTGGCGATTGGGTGGTTGGATCTATCAAAATGGTAAGGGAATGAATATGATAGATGATTGGGGGAGGGGTGTGGTTGAATCTATCAAAATGGTAAGGGAATGAATATGACAGGGATTGGCGATTGGGTGGTTGGATCTATCAAAATGGTAAGGTGATAAACATGACAGATGATTGGGCAAGGGCAGGGGTTGGTTAAATGATTTTGTGAGAGAAGAATAATATAAGAGGGGAAAGATGAGGAACAATTTAGGAGGTGTTTTAATTTCCTTTCATTAGTTCGATTTGAATTTGAATTTTTATCACTAATAACATCCACTTGGGATATTATCAGTAAATCTAAGATGCATGTGTGTTGTGCCTATGAATGTCTCAAAGATGCTTAGTAACATAGCACAGCCTACCTGACAATGCTGCTGCCTAATTGCAAAAAATTAATAATTTAAATGTGACAAAATAAAGAGGCATTCAGTGTAATACAAAAGCACATTATTGCAAGTACTTATACAGTAACTGGATGTAATTTAATAATTAAATGTTACAGTTTTTAAATTTTTTTTATTAGAGTAAATTTTCAGGTGAGAAAGAAGCATCATCTGGAGAAAGCTTAAGCTTCAATAAAATTCTCAGGTAAATGTTATAATACTTGTGTAAAATTAATTTTTTTTATAAAAAAAAAAATTACCATTTGAATTTAAATCAACCCAACAAAATCATTTTATTGGTTATTTATTTTATTGGATTCAAATAGTCATAATTTGTAAAACTACCTTTTCAGGTTAAGTGACCTACTGAAAGTTTCTAGGTCAGAGTTGAAAGGTCAACTAGCAATAAGAGGAGCTGAGAGTGGGGAGATTCAGTCTGTACTTCGCCTTTGCAGGTATGCACTTTCTTGGTTTTTTTTCCATCTCGGATTCCAACAAAAGTGGTCATTTGACATTGTTTCTAACATTAATTTTGTATATTTTACAATTGTGTGTCTGGTTTTATTTCCTTGATAAGTCATGTTATCCAATATCTAAACACTGTAATAGAGTATTCCTAGATTTACCATTTTTAATTAAGTTCATGACAATTAATTTACCAAACCAATCAAACCATCAATCAATTATTATTATATTAATTGTATTGTTAATTATTTTATTTCTAAATAGTGAACTTTCAGAATATTGTGTTGATGCCAAGGTGGCAAAATCTCTGTACATTATCTGTCACATACTCTGCAAACTGTTAGCCACCGAACACCAAGCTATCTTCGGCCCAGGAAAGGCGGGTATTCCAGATGATTTGCCGGTGGAGATACACAGACTGGCAAATATCGCCCTCACACATTGTGATGAAGGTAAATCGATATGTTTTATTTTTCAGTGGAAATAAGATAATTTTATGAACCAATGAATCATCTTGTTCTGTCTCTTTTTCTTTAGATCTGTTGCCAGATTGTTTGGTCCTTTGTAAACACACCTCTCTTGCAAAGGTGGTCTACAAGCAGTGTGAACACGGCCATTATGGTGTTTCTATCCAGGTAAACAAAATATTTTCTTCTATTGTCATAAATTTCCAGTGATTTATGTTGACTCTTTGGGAAACGACAGTAAGAAAAAAATCTAGTGTCATTATTTGTCTTTGGGAGTGATTTGAGAAAGAATTTGAACCCAGTACCTTAGGATTTAAAGGCAGGTTTCTTAACCACCACACCAGACTACAGTGCTACTCCAATTATTCATAAACTTTTTATATTAACGATTTGTCCACACTATCAGATTTTATGTAGCAAGCTTGTGTGATGTGGCCATACAGTATATGGGCATTATGAAGTCATATAATTACACTCAAATGGGTGCATATCACATTTGTCATATAAAGTTTAGTAGTGAGAACGAAGCTTTAGAACAATATTTTTTTGCCATTCATACAGAAATTGGCAGGATCGATGAAGACGGACCCATACACTCATTGGTCGTATAATAATTTCTTCAAAGAGGATGGACTAGTCCTTGATGCGAATTTTGCTGTTCCATTGACGCACAAGCTGACAATGGCCTCTCTTCCCAGAATCCTCCCTGATCTATGCTCATATCAGCAATCATCATTCATACATACAACTGTCAGAGGTAGGAACATTTTGTAGGGACTTATTAATATTTCTTGGACTTAAATGAGAAAAATACATTTAATACATAAGAAATAAATGTATTAACTGAAAAGTATCCCTAACATACTTGTTTTCAATGTGGATATTACCAAAGAGTATAGAATTGCTAGATGTCCAACTGCCCTGATTTTGTATGCACAAAATGAAACATTAAAAATGTATTACCACAAGGTAGGGGGCACACTATTAGGATGCGAAGTACAGATCAAACCTCCACCATTCGTTCAAATGACACAGCAGGCGATAGATGCTCTCTAGTTTGACAGTGGTAGTAATTTTTGAGATAGGATTGCATTCCAATGAAACCGCGAGAGTCAGACCACTTGCAGTATACTCTTTGTTAATACTACTAAATCATTGAGGTATTAGAATAGTAATAAGGACCTTTCGATTTCATGACACGGTAGAATCTAGGACGTAATGACGTCACTAACATGAGAACGTTAAGTCCTCCTCGTGTGGATTCTAGGATGCAATTTCACCAATTCTACATTGTGCAGAGAACATAGGACAGTCACGCACGAGTGAATCCATTAGAGTCACTCCATCGCGCAAATGGAAAACTCCCTAATATTAGCTTTCAATTAAAAATTCAAAACAACAGTATAATTCCCCACACATGTCACATGACAAGTGTAATTATCTTTATTTACACTACTTGTGTGAATTGCACAAATATGGTCAAAGCACATCCATATATGTGCATGATGATACCATTATACCCATATATGGGCAAATCACAGGTATTTGTGATTTTGATAGTGTCAACAGCTTTATGTGCTTTTCAGATGAAGATGCTCAAGGTCTGCTAAGATTGAGCCAGGCATCCATGAACCTTGTGGAGCACTTAAAGGAGAACAACATGTTTGAGCTTGCCTTCCACGTACTCATTGAAACATTGATGTCAGGGGTCATGTACATAGCTGTCAACACAAGTGGTTATGACATCACAGATCAGGTACCAATCACTTTATCACATGGAATTTGAAAATGATTTGATTGATTGGTGTCACTCAAGCACCTGTGTCCTGGATGGCTGAGTCACAATCAGTGGTGTACCAACACACAGATTCCCAGCTTGTGGCAAGGGTGTATCCCCATACTGCCATTGGGTGTTGAATTAAAGTAACATATTGTTTATGTTACTTTACACTCGCTGTGCATTTCCCTTGTGGCATTTTATCTGCAATGCTTCTCTGCACCTCCAGTATTAATAGATACCTGGTTGGGTTGCCTGCGTCTGCACTGATTACATCAGCAACATATAATATAAACAAATTTTGAAAACTTTAGATTTATTAATTTGTAGGGTTTGCTCAAGTGTATTGACAATGCTAAGAAGTCTGTGATCCAGCTTGGCACGGTTGGTCTGGAGATGATATCTGCTGTTGAATCCACACTACTCGAAAAGGTAAACATTCTGAAAACCAGACTGTAAAGTAAAGGCCTGTATAGGAAATATATTCTCTGTGCAATAATCAGGCCTAGAAATTTGTCCACGCATTTTAGAATATAAGGGCCGATTTCCCCCTACAAATTTTTCCGAAAATTTGGTTTTGACCTTAATATAAACAATGTATTATGCAGTAATTACGACTTCGCGCACGTATTTTCCTAGCGATTTCCCACACAAATTTGAGCTTGTTTTTGAGATATCCGATCAATTGAAGTAACTTTATAGTATGACCTGAAAATCTAAGATAAAACAATAATTTCCTTGTAAGCACTAAACTTTCTTTACCTTTTTCCGTTTGCTATTTTAAGTAAATGTCATAAATATGTTTTGACTTTATGCTAGATGTTTGGATGTCGATACGTGGACCTTTACTTAGCTCTTAGCTGTCTGTCTGTCCTCCCAAAACAATCCGCTCTCCTTAAGTTGAAGACCTTGACAGCAAATGCTGGACAGAGCTATAAGAAAGTTATGGTAAGTAAATTTATTTTCACTCAAATACACGTCCCTAATTGACTGTAAACATAACTAATGGAAGAACATCATTCTCAACACATTCTACTAGTAGAATTACATGTTTTCTAACCTGGTTAGGATCAGTAAAGTCTTTATGGTTACCCAAACACATTTTGACGATAGGTATGTATTGTAGTTCACGTTTACAGTGAAATCAAGGGGTGTTTATTTGAGTTTATTTACCTCATACATAGATTCTAGGCATCTGATTGGTTAAGAAGCGGGGCAATACGCCTCGTAGAATCTATGTATGAGGTATATAAAACAAGTATTGACTGCTCTACAGAAATTCAGTGGTGATGTGGAGACAGTAGCCTATCTTCCCTCGGGAAGATAGACTACTGTCTCCATGGGAAGATAGGCTACGGTCTCCACACCACCTCGGGGCAATAGATTTCACCATTCCCCTCATGAGCAGTCAATATTTGTATAATATACGTATCGATTTTACATCACAAAGAAATGAAAGCCGTCCTCGAATAAATGAATATACGTCTCACCCGAAAAATTCCCCTTTCCCCCTCAAAAAGCATTCTCAACAATAAATGACCCTGGGGTGTTCATTCAAATGAATATGGTATTTATTATTAGTTAAAAAGTAAAATAGAGAGGTATTACAAAGTTCTGCTAGTTTGTTTGAAGGACAGTGTAAATGGTGTCTTATTTAATATTTATTTAAATTTCAGGCAATTGCAAAGGTTGGTTGTGAATATGCAAAACTTAGTGGTGAGAACAAAGTGTTGGCATTGTGTCAAGAATTGGAGACCAATGCCACATGGGGCTATAGGTTGAGTAAATTGAAGGTGAGACCACATACAATGGTGCAAATAGCATGGTTGTTTTTTCTTAAACTACATTGATTTATTTATTTAGATTTTAAGTATCCATACATGGATGAACCCACATATACTTATTGCTTTCTGAAACTTACCTAGAAATAATTGGATTGTCAGCCTTAGTCCAACTTACAGATACATTCTACATATTCATCCTCATTTTCTTTTCACTGTTGAATGTAAAATACTTACCTAAGTTACTGGCATATATTAGTTCCTACAGGTATCTTGCTTAGTGCAATATAATTAGAAAATAAATTTATTGTAAGTTATCATTTTATTAATTTCAGATATCATTCAAAGATGCCTTCACAAGCAAAGAAGCATCAGACAAGATGGATGTACTCCCACTTCTTATTGACAATCCAGGTGTTGACATCAACATGATTAAAGAGTACTGCAGGTGTGTTCTTTGTTCCTACTATTTTATGTCTGAATTTATTTTTATCTCTAATGATTTTATTGCCAGTTTTATGGCTGTTATATATGTGTTGTTATTTCAAATAAAATTATTTTGATTCAAATAAAGTTATTAATACAATGGTAATTCCTCATTTGTTTATTATGTCCCACAATGCAGTGCTTTTAATTTGGAGGAAGATGACACCTTGTTGATGTACCTTGAGGCAGTACTACTTTCACCTTCTACCTCATCAAAACCATTTGATGAAGTGCTTGTAACAAATCTGACAATGGAGATAAATAATCAAATTCTCTTAGTAAATAGACTCTTTAAAGTCCTGAGAAAGGTATGTGGCTACTATTTTCTGCTGTTATTTATTTACTCCAAATTGTATGCATACATGTTTTTAAAAATTTAAATTTTGTAAAAAAAAAAATCCTTTTATATTCTCTCACAGATTGAATCTTATGATTATAACCGTTTGACCTTTGTCCTACGTATCATCCTAAGCAAAGGTTATGTTGATCATCCTGAAATGCCAACAGCTAAACTGGTAAAAACTCTTCACTGCCTTTCGAATTGTTCTTATTATTTGTAAATCTATTAATATTGCATAGTTTTATCATTTGGGATGGGACATTTAGATTTTGGTGATGAATCTTGGGCTATAAAAAAGGTTAAAACTGTTTAGCCAAAGCAATATAGCTATTTAGTGAGAGCCTGTTCAACTAAACTGGTGGTAGCCACTCTGTGTGCACAGAACCGTAGCGATACTTTGGTCCTCAGTTCAATTCCATCGACTGCTGCTTTTGTGTTTCTGGAGGGCTGAGACATAACCAGTGCTAGCAGGAATACCAAAATACAGATCACCAGCTTGTGGCAAAGGCATATCCCATACTGCCAGTTAGCCCTATCCTAAAGGACTTTAATGCTCATTGACCTGTACCTGTAGTACCAATTGACTATATTTCCCAGCATGCATTGTGGTAAACCATAATGATGTCATTAAGTTATTATTCATTTAAGGGTCTTCAACTGCTTGATTACTTGGTGATGTACACCCGCTGTAAGCCACCTGGTCCATTTGAGGTGGAGTTCCGGTGTAATACGGAAGAAGACAAGGTAAAGGTGATCAAGGGAGCTCCTTGAATATTTCTTTCGGCTTTGAATAAAATTTATTATTAGAGTATTTTTATCGCAAGTTACATCTGTTTAAATTGGTAACAAGTAAGGCACTCCCCCATCTTTAAAAACAAAAACTTGTTTTTCTTTTGTTTGTCAGGGAACAGAGACACAAAACATACTTTTATTTAGATTAAAAATTAAAATTTCCCCAATGGGGGTGAATAAATAAATTGATTTGTTGATTATAAAAGAGATTTGAATGGGGGAAAGGAAATGAGGTCAGATACAAGAAGACATCAGGACAACTTATTAACTGCCTGTATAACATCATCTCAATCCAATTTTTCTCCAAAAAAAAATGTAATTATATTTCTGTTGGGCAACTTCAATAAGCTTTCTTTCTGTTTGTTTAATTCAGCTGGTTGTTACTGCGGAGAGTCTATCACCGCTGTCGTCCGAGCGTTTACCTTATCATCCTCTTGTCAGTGGTAGCTATTGGAAAATATTAGGTAAGCCTAAATACAAGTTGTGCTTGTCTTTAGTTTGTATACACTGAAATGACACATGTAGCTTGGGTAGTGGAGCTGTATCTTGGTGGTTAAGATGCTTGCCTTCCAGTCCCAGGGTCTTGAGTTCAAATCCTACAATGTTGATGGAGTGGAGCTGTAGCTTGGTGGTTAAGATGCTTGCCTTCCAATCCCAGGGTCCTGGGTTCAAATCGTACAATGTTGATAGAGTGGAGCTGTAGCTTGGTGGTTAAGGTGCTTGCCTTCAAGTCCCAGGGTCTTGGGTTCAAATCCTACAATGTTGATGGAGTGGAGCTGTAGCTTGGTGGTTAAGATGCTTGCCTTCCAATCCCAGGGTCCTGGGTTCAAATCCTACAATGTTGATGGAGTGGAGCTCTAGCTTGGTGGTTAAGATGCTTGCCTTCCAATCCCAGGGTCCTGGGTTCAAATCCTGCAATGTTGATGGAGTGGAGCTGTAGCTTGTGGTTAAGATGCTCATCTTCCAATCCCAGGTCCCAGGTCCTTAAAAGCATAGGATTAAAAATAATATCTGCTAAAGGTACCAAAGCCTCGTAATGAGACATAGGTTTATGATAAACCTATTCTTTTGATTTTGTTTATTTAATAGGGCCACTAAATATGAGCTAAGTTGGAAAGGTCACCCTCTATAGATATAATGTTAACAACCAACAACATGTGCAAAGGTTCCAAGTCTCCCTTGAGTCTGCGAAATTAAGACTGCATTCATGTCCTGATGTGTTTACTACTGTATTATCAGTTGTCTTCTCATTTAACCAATTTCGCGGAAGTGACTTATACAAACTTGTGACCCCTGAGAGTATGAATCCATTTTCCAAATGATGAGCAATTTTCACGTAAAAGTGTCAACTTATTGTTTACCAAAATCTCTTTTTTCCTGTTGTCTGACAGCTCGGGAATTGAATGAAGAAACGGTTCCAAAGCTTACACCAATTGCTCAACTTCTGAATGTGAGTATAATTATCCAGGTGTTATTAGAATATACAGCCATTACACTATGTAAGCCGAGGTCTATGTTTCTGGTTTTTTTATTCACTTTCTGATGTTAAATGCCTTTTTAATCTAGGTCTGCAATTAATTATTCTTCTTCTTTGTCTAACTGAGCCATCATTTTATATGAATACAGTGATAGTAATAATACGAAAAACTCTTCTAGGAATCATCTTATACCAGTATATTGTCCCGTCGCTAAACTTAGATTGAGCGATACACTTGCGAGGTCATAAGTCATCAAATCTGGTTGAGAGGTCTATTTAAGAAACGCACAAGATTTGTAATTTCGAAAATGGGATATTATCGTACTATCAGTTCTCAAATTACATAAAATTGGTAAACATCTTGAATAAAATGATAATAGTATGAAATGTTAAGTGCATAGAATTTTAAGATATGCGCTATATATGAATATAATATTAACTTGACCTTTGACATGCATTAATTAAATTACAGCTTAACATGGATGAGCTTTACGTCACTGCAATCCAGAACGTTTTGAAAAAGCACAAGGAACCATACAGCGCCCTCTATGCAAGCAAAAGTAACACGGGAAAACTAAACATGAAGGCACTGGAAGGTATCAAGACTTTGTTGATGAGCATCACCGACCCTCCTATGGCTGTAGCGTCAGCACGACTTGTAGCGCAGGAGTTACCACAAGGTATGAAAGAATGCAACAATGCATAATATTTAAGCTTGTGCCGCAGCGTGTAAAGTGTTGGTGTTAAATCGTGAGATCAGGAGTGACCCTGCTACAACTGTTCCAGTCATTTAATAACGCAACTAGAATCGATTATACACGATTATTCGCTAAAGGAAGCTACATTTAAAAACCAACTGTGTAGCTCCTGTGATTCATACAAATGAACAAAGCTCTTCTAGAGGGCAGTACATTGATTTACTCATGATACATTTAAAAATAGACCCTTCTGTGGCTGTAGCATCCAGTACGATTTGCAGCACAGTGAGTTACCACAAGGTATGAGAGAATCATTATTATAAGGATACTACAGAGTAACTCCAATGCATTCAATGTTTCAAAGACGTAGAGTTGTGTATCAATTCTCAGCAAAATGGCTTCCATAAATTCAGTCAAAAACAAAATACGCCTAAGCACAATTTTCAATGGCGCCCTCAATTTGATATGAAAGTTTTGGATACAGCTAGTTGACTCATATGTTATGCTTGAGCCTTACTGTGTAATAAACTGATTTTCCTAGTGTACTATATACATAATTAATCATTTTATTGTTAAATCTGTTATTCTTCTTGGCTAATGTAGATTAATAATTTATGAATATTATTAATATTGTTGATTAATTAATAAGAAATCAATCATTATACTTGACTTGAAAGTGGCGCTTTTCCTATGGCAGCCATTTTGTTGACTACCGATACACAACATGGCTTCGTTGCCTAGTTAGCACTCTAGTTGTATAAGTCTATGGAGAGAATGCAAAGATACATAACATTATAGCCCTCCAGAGAGCAGAACATTGATTTGCTATTTCATTTGTCATTGAAATATTAACATTTAAAAATATAACATATTAGGTTTTTTTTTAATTGAGATTCAATATTTTGACTCTCATTTTTTCATCTTCATGAATAAGACCCTATAATAAATTTATTAGAATTCCATAGTAATAAAGATTACTGTACTTACAATATTTTATGTTTGACCCTGAGAATCCAGAAAATACATGAATAACACTTTGTCATTATTTACATCAGGTCCAGAAAAGGTTCTTGCACTCCGTTTCTGTGTACTGCTTGCGTTAAGATGGAAGGAAAGCTGTGCTGATAAGGTGTTTGTTCTTTTACTTTTAAAAAACAGATTTGTAAATGTATATATCATCTTTAATAAGTTCTGCTTTTGTATAGCATAAGGTGCAGTAATATTCATGTTAAACAATTTGTGCTGTGTCCAAAATACTCATTTTTATTACACACCATCTCAATTTCAGTACACACCATCTAAACTTCTACAAAATTAATTATCTCCTCAGACTCCAGAGAAAGAGAAGTCCACCTCAATGCATAAGAAGCTAGCTGAGGTCCATAGCTGCCTAGCCACCGAGCAAGTCCTACAAAAGTATGGCCTAGCAGATAAAGAGTACCAGACAATGGTGCATACGCCAGCTAGGCTAATCTTCAAACTGTATGAGCATCCCATGATTGAGAAGAAAATGGCTGGAGAATTAGAAGGCTTGCCAGGTAAATGATAATGTACATGAAAATTATCCTGTATATGTATGTAAAGTAATAATTATTATTAATAATAAATTTTGCTCAAAGAATTTTGAGTATTTTATGAACTATAATTTCAGACATTCACAAAGCAGTCGATGAGATTGCGAAAATTAACAACAGCAACATCAACAAGATTCGACATACGTTGACAGAGAAATGGCTCCTGTATACGCCTACCAAACAGTTGGAGGACGAAACGGTGAGAAAGACAATTAATCCAACGTTGGTGCATATATGTGGATTGAGAGTACATGAATCTGCTTGATGTCATCTCTATCACCATGTCTGTCATCATCATCATCATCATCGTACTGTACTGTATGTTTGTAATCATTATTATTTCGATATGAATTTGCGTCAGGAAAATACCATAGGAGTGATGTTTTGCCCTACCTGACGTGTGATCGTACCAAATGTTCTGTACGTTCCCAAATACTGTTCTTGTGAAAAGAAATGTGCAAGTGACTCGGGTGGAAATCGAACCCACGACCTCCAGATAGCTAGCCTGGTACCATAACCACTAGACTACTAAGCTTGCACTTAGTAGCTAGTGTTGAATCCGATCCCCTTGTAGCAGCGGGTACTGCAAATGCTATTTAAATGTGAGTTTACGTCAGGATAATATCATGGGATTGATGTTTGGCCTATTAGTTAAGCTCAAAATTTCCTCTTGTATATATTTATTGCATTGTATTCATTGTTATTGTGTGTTTGGCAGATAATTGTAATCATGATATGTTATTATTTGTTTGTATGGCACTATCTTCTATTTTTTTTTCCTACAGATTAATTTCTCCTTTAATTCTTTCAACCTCATCAAAGAAGTTAAAATCAGTGAAGAGGAGAGAAGTTTAAGAAGGTTTGATAAGAGAGAAATGAATTTATTTATTATATTTATTTATTTATTATATTTATTTATTTATTTATTTTGTTGATTGAAATCTCCCCAAACAAGGGGTTATTTACTACTATTTATATGCTATCAAATGCTTGCACCTACTGCCTGAACCCCTTCACAGCCTGTCAACAATTTATTTATAATGTAATATAAATAATATATATATAATATAATGAGTGAATGTTAATAAGTTACAAAATTATTGTACCTGTAGTGATAACTGTATAAATCTGTTTGAATCATTTAAAATTTTTGTCATGAAGGAGTTTATAATTATACAAGTAGATGTCTTCCAAGGTGGAACAAACCATTATTTGTTGTGGAGACAATGGTACAATTGATTCATTAAATAATATTTTCTCTTTCAATTTTTCACAGAGTGATGTATATTCTGCAGTACAGTCAGATGGAGAACAGCGCCCTCTTTCTTCTTTCCTATGCTTTTAAGGTAATTATTATAAAGTCTATTAAGGTCTGGGGTTTTGAAGCTTCGCTGCACATGTTGTCTCTCTCCACTCGATAGTACATGTAGGAATGCCAATGTGGTTATTAGCGGCAACTAACATACAATATTTCAATCTTTCTGGATAAGAACTTAAAATGGAGGGCCTGTGTACACATCTGACTTGTGTAATAATAATAATAATAATAATAATAAAGATTTATAAAGCGCACATCTCCACCAAAGGTGCTCAAGGCGCATAGACAATTAAACCAACAAAATCCAAATAATTCCCAGAAGAATTTTCAGCAAAATCGAAATACCAATTATCCCATCGAGGCAATGTTGCTAACCATATAAGTATACGCAGATACCCAAAGGCAGTATGTTGAGCATCAGCACTTTCCACCCTGGGATAAGCCCAGGGCTCCACTACCGTGCACTGCAACAGGAGCTGCATTGCGTCGACAGATAAAAGTGATATCATGTGTTTAGTTTTTTTTTAATTTTTAAAAATATTTTGTTTTTGTGAGTAATATAAATTCAACAGAGAAACATCAAGGTAGTCTATACGCCTCGGTGAAAATCCTAAATAATTCCAGGAAAATTTTAAGCAGAATCCGCATACCAAATTATCCCATCGAGTGTGCACTTTAAAGATCCAACATGGGATTTTTCAAAAGAGTAGTGGTTTCAATGATGCTATGTTTCATTTCAGCCCCTGTCAATGTCGAATTAATATGGACTTGAAGCTACCATAACCACTTCTTTACGATGGCTAGGTAGTCACAGACCTCACCCATATGTAATTCAGCAATGACGCTGCGAGTTGTGGCTTATTCTCCTTTTAACCTTTTTAATATATACATACTAATTCAATGACCAGTTAATTTTCATAGATATTTTTGATTGGTTTATTTCTTAGGAATCGTCTGCCAAGGTGAGCTTTGCTTGTCGTGTTCGTGCCCTACGCTGTCTGTTCAGTTTAATCAACCGAGATGAGATAGAGAAGGTTTCATTAAAACCTGTTGATGACATTAGGTACTTGAACTTAGTATTGATAAATAGAGCTCTCCCTCTAATTATAGACCACTCCATTTAAAGACCACTTTTCTGTGGTCCCAAATTAACAAATGTCATTTATCTTTATTATTCTAATTAGAGACCATAGCTGCCAAAGACCATGGAAACCCCAGTCCCAAGAGTGGTTTTTAATTGGAGGGGGGCCTGTATTAAGAATACTTTTAATTTTAATTTGTTATTTGATATTGTAATCTACAGAGCATTACTATTCTGATGGTGTTTTCGTCAGTAGATTTAATAGTAATAATATTTGCCCTACCTGACATGTTATCATACTGAATGCTCAGTTTGTTCCAAAATGTTCGCAAGTAATTTGGTTGGGAATCATACCTACGACTTCCAGATAATTAGCCAGGTAGGACAAATCATCATTCCAAGCAGGAATGATCATGTGACAATTATTATTGATATATTTATTATTGTTATTGTTAATTTTATTATTTTGTTCCTATTACTTTCATTGTGTGCTGTTGGTATTACAGTATTATTACTTTTATTAAAGTTCACCCTCCAATTCGAAGATTGTTTTTTGGTTCTTTTAATAAGTGTTCTCGAATTTGAGGGGTCAACAAATTAGAGGTGTCTCAAATTGGAGGGTGCATTGTACCTTTGTATTTTTGTGTAAATTCTTATTTGTTTCTGAATATTTTCTTATGTTTTATTCTTTCCAGAGAATACATGCAGAATCTGTTATATCTAAATGATCTGCAGTCAATAAATGCTGGTTTGAACATGTCGTCATTCATCTCCTCCAACAAAGACGGTCTAGTCCGCGGCTTATGGCGTAACCATGCCCACGAACCAAAGGCACTGCGCTTGATATCCGATCTCTGCTTCGACTATGAAATCTACGACCCCAACCTCTGGAATAGTATTTTGCAACAGCTGTATAAATTCAGTATGGTATGTAAATTAATGTTAATTATGGGTTGAAATTTTGTGACAGCACATGTTTTCACAACCTAAAAAAAAAACCATCTCCACTCCATAAGCCTTATAATGAGTGCAGTTACCCAACCTCGAGGTCTGGTATCAATCCCTCATTGTGCATTTCCCTTGTGAACTTGAGCAAGGCTTTGCTTCTCTCCACACTGGAGTATGATTGGATACGTGGTAGAGTTAGAATGCCAAACTGATTTGCTGCTGCTACGTTATTGAATACTCCACCGGGAAGCTGAGTTTTGTGTTCCACAGGTGTTCAATCCAATGACTGGGTTAATAATAATCTGAAACGCAGAGAACTTACCATAATAAGGACCTTTCGATTGCACGACGACGGCAGGACGTAGAATGTAATGACGTCACTAAAAGTCATCTGCGCATACGAGAATGTTAAGGTCACCTCGTCAAGCAGATTCTGGAATGCAATCTGGCCAAATCTACGTATGCAGAGAATGTAGGACGCCAGGTAGGATGGTCACGCATGAGTGATTCCGTTCTAGCGTCGTGTCGTCGCACAAATCCAAAGCTCCGTAATATGCAATATAAGTTTACCATTATTATTATTTAAGAGAATATCACCAATGTACCAATGAAGCTGACCTTCTAAAATAAGCTGGAAAGGTCACCATCTATAAATACAGTTTTTTTGGTTTTTTTAATGTTTACTTTAAATTGTTTTATAATTTATAGCACTATATTTATTTGTTCTGTCTTTATTAATGCCTGTAGTTGGACTACTTGCAACATGTGTTGGTAACTTTGTCAGCAATCCCTTGCTTGTGGCAGATTCGATGTTTACCCCAGATGTGGAGGAGCATTATCACAAGACCATTCTCAACAGGTAAATTGAATAATTTGCATTGTTTTCCCCAGACACATGGGTTTAAATAGCTTGGAGGTTAAAATCCCTTTTGTGTGCATGTGCTGTTCTACACATGGGATCAACCGGCTTTAAATTCTATCCAAAGGGTATAAAGCCAAGTGAAACTCAAATGAAATTGTAACTATATGTAAAAATAAAAGTCTGTATACTTGTCAATGTGAATGCTACAAAAGTGGTGTGTTTAAATCTTAAGTTGTGTTTCTGTGAAACAAGGGGCAGCTGATGATTTATGTCAACTTCTGTATTATTTGTTTTATTATACAAAAAAATAAATCACTAATTATGACTCATAAACTCAAAAAACTTCTACATTTTAGTTTCTCCACCTCTGACAGCAGAGCAGGAGCTGGCATGCCATCAGGCCTATGTTTTGCTACAAAGGTAAGAGGTCAAACTTATCTTTTTCCTTCATTGCTCTCATCTTCCCCCACTCCTAGCTATTGCATTGTGTCGTTATAGAAGTATAACTTATTAATATTATTATTATTGTTGTAACACATTTACTTAATTTCCTCTGTAATGCACAGTGAAAACAAACCAACATACAGTAATTATGATAGGAGGGCTGTTAAAGCTGGGCTGCTTTGGTTTGGAGGGTCTATTGATGCTTGGGAGAGGATGTAAATGCTGATGAGAGAGGTTGATGGTAGGATGGTGGATTAATACTATGGATGATGGGTTGATGAAAGTAAGGTGGTGTGATACTGGGAAGGGGTTGATTTTCAAGGGAGAATGTTGATGCTGGGGGGACAGTGTTGAAAATGTGGAAAGTTGTTGATCATTTATAGGTGTGTTGATGATACGGAGATATGTTAATAATGAGGAGAGGATTTAATACTGAGCAGGTGTTAAGAGAGAAGCCTAGTTTAATGTTTCACCTGTCATTGGTCTTTCCATAGGTGTCCTCTGCTGTTGGATATGGACCAGTTAAACTTCTCACGTCAGTTCCTACAGGTTGAGATGTATGCTCATGGCCTTGGTTGTTTGCTGCTGATTCCGCAAACGGAGAAACGGAATAAACAACTACAAGTAAGCGCCCTCTACTCATATCCATAAATCCTGTTTGCTGCTCCCAATTTCTTAACAAATAATAATGATGATCATCATCATATTGATTTAGCTATAGTCATAATAATAATAATAATAATAATAATGATTTAATGATAATGGTAAACATGTGGAAATGAAATAACTGTGTACAGGACACATCAAAACACATCAAAATAAGACCACATGTCTTGGATAAAAGGTAAACAGATAAGTACTGTAGTACTTTTTTCCAGCTTGGGATGGCCTTTGTCCTGCAGTGGGCCGATAACGGCAAAAGTGATGATGATTTGCTTAAACATTCCTCTTGTTGTCAACCTTCTAGTTTTTTTATGATCAATTTTTCGTAATTACTTGCATCTTTACCATTCAGAGTATGCTGAGATCTAAATGTCATGTGACCATATTAGATCAGGTGAAAGCCTACCAGGTGAACAAGAAGGTGCTGCCACAGGCTCAGCAGGTAAGTTTAAGTCAGCATTCTTATAGTTAAACACAAGGTTGTTCTCACAGTCTATAACCAAGCCAAGTGGCCGAGCGAAAGGCAGGGGTGCCGCTAACTACGGTGGTGCTGGTTCGAGTCGCTCCTTGTCCAGGGTTCAGTTGGTAGAAACAAGTATTTTCGGTTAAGGACTTAAAATAGAGGTCCAGCTTACACTTCTGACTCATGTGCGATTTAAAGAAACCTTTGCAGCTTTCAAAAGAGTAGAAGGGTTACCCCGATGCTATGCTTCATTTCAATCCGTCATTATGGAAGCTACTATGAGTGCCTCTATACGATGGCTGGTGGCTACGGACCACGCCCATATGCAATTCAGTGCAATGGTGCTGCGAGTTATGGATTGTTCTCCTACCTTTACCTTTACATTTTTGACAACTCTCTAAGCATCATATAATTAAGACATTAAATATCTCATTAAATATGCAATGTTGTGTACTATGCAAGACTTTCAGAAAAATGTGAGTAACTCAGCTGACTTTTGGTGGCGGGAAGAATCAAAGACCTGCTATAATTAAGCATGCAGTGTTGACAAATTTCCTTTTGATACCTACAGATTATAAGAAATGGGTATAAGCCAACCCAGAAAATTTCACCAAGTTTGTGTTCAAAAGGGAGCAAATGATTATCAGTACTAGTACTGTAGTTCTATATTGGTTGTCTTTCAGATTCAATCTGCTGTGTTTATTAACGTGGATGAAGAAGGCATGTATGACGATCTAGCCAACTCCAGTCACTACCAATCAATGGCTTTGTTTCTCATTAATAATCAGAGAATGGAGAAAGTTACCAAATATTTACTTCAAAATGACAGGTAGGTAATAGCTACACTCACTCAAGTAAAACCCCACTTCATCCACCGTAAATTCAAAACAATATGTTGAGTACTACCACATAATTCCATATTATTATGAATTAACATGAATTAAGGTGTGTTCATATTCATATTAAGTGTTCCTTTATTATTATACAGTATATAAAATTAAAAATAATAAATGTGAATGTAAAATAATTCCATTGATGTTTTAATTCATCCAGGATGGACGATGCCACTCAGCTTGTCAGCAATTATCTTCGGCGTCATCCAAACGCAGATGTAGCAAAGCAAACACAGAATCACTCTCACCTACAGAAACTAAAGGTATTAGTAAAGTTCATCATTTTCACTGTCAACAACAAATTGTCCTTTGCTTATGTCTCAGTTGCAATCTCTTCAGCATCCAGTTGTATGTGCCAAGGAAAATGTGTATTGTAGTCCATTCTTTTGTTGAAGTCAGAGTTTGTTCCCCCATGGAGAGAGTCAACATTGGTTTTGTTTTGCCAGTTTGTCCCTTGTTTAATTTTGATTTAATATCTGGCTGTAAAAGAACACTATATTCCTTGGAATGTTTCTGTGTTATTTACTATATATATCCCCTTTAATATTATTTATTTATCCAATTTTTAATTTTTTTAAAATTTATAATAATATCACACTCACAATCCATCACACACATATTATGAGTAAACATAGAAAAGAAAACATTTACGCATGAAAAAGTTTACCGATGACCAAGAACTGTATGTTTGCAGAAAATTGTTGATTATGGCATTTAGTGTATTTTTTGGCAATTCATTACAAAAACAAATTATTTCAGGTTTTCCTCGAGTCTCATAATCTTGAAGGTTATGCTGCCAAAGTTGATGCTAGACTGAAGAAACAGAAGCTCGAGAATGGATTGTAAAAAAGCGAAGCTCATTTAAGGAAGGGGAAGGTGAGGGGTAAGGAGAAGTTGAGGGATAATCTGGAAAAAGAAAGGACAGGGGAAGCAGAGAATATCTTGACATTCAGGGATCTATATTGGTTCAAATATTTGTAAGAATGTTGATGTTTACTCTTAACCTCATGTATTTGTAATATAAAAAAATTACATTTTTCTAGTACAATAATTCCAGAACATCACAACAAAATACTATAATAATTATTATATACAAATTTATTTCTGTACAAAATAAAATATGTTACAATAGCAATCAGAACTATATTTGTATGTTATTAACAAATACTTTACATGAAAACAAAAATTATAAAAATTTATTTTTTGTTGTAGAAAGTATGTCCTAGCACACTTTCATCGGCTATTCATAAATAATTCAGGCACATCGTAGAAAGGGAGATTCATACGAGCTTGGTCTTATAATATAAATTTTTGATCAAAAATATTATGTAAAATTATTGCTTCTTGGTTTTTACACTTTGGGCTACTGTAGGTAACAGAGTAATTGATAAGCTTTGGATAAAATAGTTTCCATCATCTATGGATGCTACTATTTCAATCTTGTTATAATCCCTAGAATTTACTCTTGTTAACATATTCAGGTGTTTATTAAAGCACACTGTAGTATATATGGGTGTACAGTTAAACATGTCTGAAGTCAACTTTGCCAAACATGAATAATTTCTAAGTCGATCTTACTGTGTTTTCTAATAATTAACGCTCTGTAAGGTTTTATCTAAGTCTAACAACTTTTCAGTTCCATTTTGGATTACACTTTAGGCAAATTCAACTGTATTCATCTGAACATCTCATCTCCATGTTTGATCAAAAACATTATTTTAAACTATAGATGCTTTGGGTGTGTTTACACAATGGGCTATATAATAAATTATTGATAAGCTTTGGCATATATAAGGTCTATGGATGTTGTAATTGTATTCCTCTTTTTCCTACTTAAAACTTAGATGGCAACAGTTCTTTTTTATCGTTGTTTGTTTATTGAATTACCAAGATAAGGATTAAAAACTGCGCCACGAGAAACTGTTTAGCCTGCTGGACACAGAAATCAATGCTGTGCTGAAGAGCAGCTCTTCGGCAAGATAAAGAAATTTGTCTTTTTATGGCACCGCAGAAACTGGTTTTGTTTTCAATTTGATTATTGAAAGACTACCGATAGCCATGTACAATCTTATCTATACTGTAAATTAAACCCTGTGTAAATATGTAGTGCGTACACCATAGAAAGTTAATGATAAAGATATGCTTCTATTAAGGATACAAGGCAAAGTTCAGATGATACAGGATGTATTTAAGGTCACAAGGTCAGATTTATTTACTTATTCTTGTAATAGAGAACGTATTAAGACAATGCTATTGTTCTCCCACACAGTCCAGTTATGCATTATAAAGTTTCATAATAAGGTTTAGAAATGATGTTAGTCAAAAAAAAAAATCCATGACAAGATTTGAACCCAAGACCCTGAGATCAGAAGGCAAATACCTTAGCTATTTTTTATAAAAGTTGTAGCTCGGTATAATGCTGCCAATATTCACAGGTACCAAAATATGTAGTGATAATCCTAAATAAAATAAACATAAATATATTTTTATATTGATGCTTTTTTTTTTGTATTATAGAAATTTGAACAGTGCATTCCTTCACTCACACCCCCAATGTACACCCCTCGAATGTCACATGACATTGCATGTGGTACTTTTACTAATTGACCCAGTCTCACTGACTGTGCTGCCAACGTTCTGATCACCAATCACACTACTAGAGCCTTCAGATGACCCCCTGCTGTTTGAAGTACTTGGCTCCAACCCACTGCCCAGTCTGGAGATATTATGAGCAGTTCCACTCCGAGATCCTCTGCCACCGTCGGAGGACGATGACCTATCGATACTTTTCCTTCGCAACTGAGCTTGTTGATTGATGCTCAGTAATCCGTCGTCATTCAAGCGGTTCAACGTGATGTGTTTGTGGACTGACTTGTATCGGTCTTGGTCTTTAGGTTGTGTTGGGTTCCGTTGGGTTAGCTGACCAAGTGCAACGGCTAGTTGGGTTTCAAGATGTTTGATTTTTTGATCAGATTTTCTTTTCTCAGACTGTAGAAAATTTAACTGCAACAAGACGATAAAAATATTTGCAATGTCAATTACTATGGAATCCATTTTGAAGTGAAATCACAGGTGCATTATGGGTAATAAATACAAATGTCATATGACACATTAATTACCTCTTCAGTAAGATTATCCAACTTTTCTGTGGTTAAATCCAGATTTTGCTTCGTTGATTTGAGGTCTCCCTGCGTCCTTCTCAAGTTTGCTTTTATGATGTAATCCTCTTCAAGAGATTGCCTACGCAAAACTGACAATTTTTTGAACCTGGCAATTACAAAATAAAATTTGGGGATAAGATACATAAATTACTAAAGAGTTTAAAGAGCTTAAAATGGCGAAAAATTGACCACTTTCTTTAGGCAGCAGGGGCTTAGCCCTTAGCTTCAGCCGTGGACCCCTTGTTGGACCACTTAGCCCCACTCCCTCTGCCTGTCAGACAAATTTTGACACAAATTATTGAAACAGAAAATGTTGCATACCTTGTTCCTCGTTTGCTCCCTAGTACTTCACTGACATTGACTCCGGACATCTCTAATGTCTCTTTGTCTAACTCAAGCTCTTGATGAAGATTTTCCAGCTCCTAAAATTAAAGCCAAATTTATCATTAATGATGTTTGTATCTTCTGTTACTTGGTTATTTTTAGAATTATTTGAGCAGGTCAATTTTAAAATGTGTCTCAAAACAGCTTAATTGCCAAAAAAAAAAATCAATTTTTTCTTTATAGCTTTTCCTTCTTGAATGTATATCAGAGAGACTCTACTTCAGAGGGATGAGGTAGTGTGGGGCACACACCCCTTTCTGTAAAAAAAAACTTACACCCCCCCTCTCAGTCCCCTTCTAGTTTCCCTTCTACTGGAAATTGGCTGAGCAAAAAAAAAAAATTATTCTCACCTTCCTTTAATATCACCTTACTTTTTGGCAGTTAGAGCCCCCTCCTTTAATCATCAAGCCCCTCCACATGACCCTTGCGACCCCTACCCCATGTCAATATTCCTAGATTTGTCACTGGTTGTATGTGTAACTGTAGTAACTTCGCATTAAGAAACTACAGAGTGAATCATCACTATGAGCCTGAGGCATATCAATGTAGAAATTGTTGTTCAGCTGCCCCATGAATAACCTTGATATCCTGAAGAACGTCTATGTTAATGAGGCAGGTGGCAAGCATTTATCCATGCATTCACCTGTTGTATATACTTGCGATTCAAACAAAGGCATTGATTTGCCAAGCATATATAATGACCATATAATTTTAATACAAAATTACAGTGACATTTACCTCGATATTGAATAGCAATTTAACAATAATACGGTTAATATCAGTTGGCACCCATGCATATAACACACATATAATTCTCCTATAAACATACAACTGTGCCGCCATTAATTGATGGTAAAACGTTTGCACTGCTTATATCTGATATTGGATGTTAACATTATATTTACTGAGGGTGTCAAATCTCAGTTTGCACCACGCTCATGTTGGATATTATTATATTTACTGGGGTGGCAAATGTCGGTTTGCAGCATACCTCATCTAAATTCTTGAGTTCTTCTTCTCTGCTCTTACAAATCTCACCTCTTCTATCTAGATATTTCTCAGCCTGTTCAATCTGAGGAAATCAAACATATTTACCCATAATAAATATATTATACTTCATTCAAATAAAGATATGATGTAATTCACTATCAAAAAAGGTAAAGCTCATAGTCAAAGATGTATTGTAAGTGGGTGGGTGTACTGTGGGTGGTGGTTGTGCACATTGTGTAGTTAATACTGTATATGATGCTAATGGTATACACACACACTCACCCAAAGTGCACCCACCCACAGACATTACACCAACACGATGGCAGATTTGAGGGGCCAGCTGGCCCACCCATCTCCCTCCAACCCCCTAATTTTTTTCAAAATTATGAAAAAAAATAGAGAAAAAAGTGTGAGAGTGCTATTTTTGGCCATCTAGAGGTGTCATATTCATACCTTTCTCCCTGGCCCCCTCTTTTTCTTATTCCTGGATCCGCCACTGCTACACATAACCTAGGGTCCACACACCCACAGATATTAAACATATTTGTGGGCACAGGTACATCCCCATTCACATATAGTATCTCCCCCCTTTCCACATATGGCTTATTTTAATGTAAAAATTTGTTAACAAAACTTATAGTATTGTATACTGTACAAGATAAACACTCTGTGCAATAATAATAATGATACTCTATAAGAATATTACTAATAATAGATTATAATTGTTTTATATAGCAGTCACCAAAATGCCTGTTAGTTAAAACTTGTATCTTCCACCAAACACCACATTTGTATGTGCGATGTGTCCGCAACCAAGGTGCACTTCACCGGAAACCGCACGCATGTGCACATAAATGCGATCAAATAATGATACGGACCATTGGTTTTCTCACCTCCATCTCAAAGTCGACGCACTGTTTGAAGCGTCTGTCCAGCTCATCCTCCAGCTCTTTTAAATCCTCCATTCGCTTGGTGATACTTTGCATTTGTTCATCAAATTGCAGGTCGGTGAGTTGGTTCATGTACTCTTGCCGTTTAGCACTCAAATCGGTTTCATATTTATTTATCTGTTTAGATAAATTAACATTCATAATGTTTTAGTTATTAAAAACAGTAAAATAATTAAACAATGATGTACAGGACAATAATAATGACTATTATAAAACATGGATAAAAATAATGAAAAAAAAAAAAATTATAATTGTGTTGAATAATGATATAATTTCAATTAAGCTATACAAAACAATGGACAATAGCTTTTTATTTAGGTCAGGATTGTTTTTCCAATCCATGCAAAAATGCACAATTACAGTACAATTCACAAAACAATAATTATGTAAATCTACATCCCAGATAAATCCTAGTCTAAACAACAGATCAACAATTAACTCAGAAACATATTACCATGCATTTTATTATTTGATATGAAGCAAGCTTGGCTGAAAAGCGCTGGTGCCAGCTGAGAAGCAATGCCGTACAATACAGAAGACAGCCTCGTAGTTTAAATGTATACTGTATTTACTAAAAATGTGATAAATAGGTATATACTCTAGATTCTTATACAGTATGACTGTTGACTAGCAAATACACAAAATACTGGATAACTTAACAACAGTCTTATACTTTAGACATATTACCTGTAGTGTATCTTTCCCTTTATGACATGTCAATGATTATCACTAATTTTGACTTGGATCCATTCTCTGTACTGTACCGTAAAATATATTACTATACAGTAGTTATTGGCAACCCAACACATACCTGTCCTTACTACTTTTTAATGACAGTATATATCTTTTGTTGGCAAAAGCTTGCTTTTTGCATCATAAAGAGAAGCTTGTGTATTAGCATTTCAAAGGCGAGATACTGTTGTTTACACAAAGATAAATCTTTGTCGACACTGTTAAAGTTTTATGTGACAATACAAGGGATTGATGATGTCATAACATACCCATGGGTATAGAGATGACATAACACCCATATGTGTAAATCACAACAGTATTTGCCACATAAAATGTTAGTGTGTACTGAGTAATGCAAGAAGAACAACCTAGTTTTAAGCCGGGGCGCAGCTTAGGCGAGACCTTTTTAGTACCTTGTTTTGCGAACTTATTTTTTTAAAGATCGTCAGAGGAGGGCGAACAAAAAATGAAACTAAAATTTTGTTTTCTTATTTAGCAAACAGTTTTGCCAAAAACATCCAGATGGAAAAAATAAAAATATGATGACGATGATGATCATTATTGGTGAATGCAAACAGTGTAGTAATGGGATAGTGAAATACTTTAAATTTGTATAATTAAGAAGAAATATATCTTATTTTCGCAGACTTCAAGGCAGCGGTGGGCGAAATAAATATAAAGAAACTTTCATTTTTTTCTGAAATTTCGACTTTTTCATGGCAGCGGGTGTGCTAATTGGCCAAAAATAAAATTTTAATTTTATTCAAAAGCATCATTATTGATGGGTGGGGGGTTTGCTAAACAAGGTATAAAGGAAGTTTCGCCTCACTTGTAAACAAGCCTAAAAACATAGCACAGCATTCAGTCTATCTGAGCTGGCAGAGTATTTAACATTGTGTGGTCTGCCAACTCTAACTGTTAAAAGAATTAATTCACTTCTGAATAAAATGAAAATGCATTTATGGAAAGCTATTTTACTGCAAATTTTGTCAAGTTGTACAGTATCATAAAAGTTTAAATCCAATCATAAAATTGGCTTACAATACTGTAGATGACTGACAAGATTGTAAAATGTTTATCTTAGAAACATTTCAGTTTAGTATAACAATACTGAGGGACAAGATGAGACAACCTAACAATTGAAGTTGATAGTCAAAAAGCCACATGCACTAATAACATTGAAGATTTTTTTTTTTCCATTCTGTTGTTGGGAAATCTCAACCATTATCGTTGAAGTGTCCTTGAGAAAGGTCATAACGTCAGTAATTCAATATTTTCATCATTATGTGCTCTAATTTGATAGTCAGTCCATTAAATAAATGAATGTAGCAACAGGAGTTTAAATTAATTTACAATTTGTTAGTTACAAAAAAAGAGTAACTACAAAACCACATTTTTTAAGAAAGTATTTAATTCATACTCCAAGTACTGAAATGCATGCCATCGTGTTGGGATTCAATATCAACATTAATTATGTCACCATCAGGAACATTTTTTTTAAATAATGAAAAAATTCACTACCTAATATCAGGTTGATATGGAATATTAACAAAATTTTTAACTAATTTTAACAATTATTATCATTTATTTGAAATCCCTCTAAAATGTTAAATATTTTTAACTGATTAAGACAACTTAGTGCAAGGAAGCAATCAGAGGATTTTATTATAAAAGATAATTTCTATGGTTGCAGGCACAACATTTTTTCACTTGACCTACCAAGTAAAAAAAAACAGAGTGACAAGCAACAAAGAGGGTAAAATTGTTTAGCCCCCCCCCCCCTTACACACAACATAAGGTACATGCAACTATGATATGTAGCAGGACAAAACAAAAATTTATAGGAAATTAAACCATAAAATGCTGTCACTGAATGCAGTATATAGTGTATTGTGTACTTTAATGATTAAACTAGAGTTTAATAACTCCAGTCTGCAACTAAAGGAAATTGCCTAAATTTGGTAAATTCCTACTGATTACACAGTTCATTCAAGTAAATTAGATCTATTTACTTAATTCATCAAGATAATATCTATCAATCATAATTCAACACGATTTTCCCTACAGACTGTCATCCGAGTCTATTTTTAGAACAACAAAACTGATGTTGGTAACTAACAAACTGATAATATAGAGACATAAATGATGAGAGCAAACACTAAGCAGCAAACAATAATTGAACTGACGGATAATTAAGGCAATGCTTCACCCAAGCACATGAGTAAACATTGCATTGCATAGCATACAGCATAAAGACATGGATCAATATCAACAATGGACTTGATTCAGCAGAGAATATATAAATTGCACAACCTACCTGTCGTTTTGGGGATAGCTAGAAATTTAGAATAAAATCGTAATTTTGATAAATTAATAAAAGAAATTTGCAATATGTATCAGTGGAAAAATTATTTGTAATAGTGATTGTGAGAAATCGCATGCATTTTTCACATAAATTGTGATAGTTTTGGAGAGTACAGGTCTTTAAGCTTCATAATTAGGAGTCAAAAGAGCTTATGAAATAATGGTGAAAAGCAAAATTATGAAAATCAAGGAAACATAACTACTGTACTATTGTACCACCAGTTTAAAGGGAAAAAAAATTAAAAAAATAAACAATTTGAATTGAAATATTAAAAGAACCAGTTTTACTAACTTTATTAATATCCATAAATTAGCTGCAAGAAAAATTATTGGTAGACTAGTATTATGCTCAATTTCCATAGAATCGCTCACCCTGTCAGCGACAGTTGCTGACAGTTGTCAGGAAGGTTGAACCGATTGCGTTGCAGACATATCGGTGCAGTGCTAGCTGCCCTGACGCAATCGGGAAGGCATCATCAATTTTTCTGCAACGCAATCGGTCAAGTTGAACCAGGTTCAAGCTTCCCGGCGCCTGGAGTGAGCAATTCTATGGAAACCGAGCTTTAACAGTAATTTAACTTCCATTAAATTTTGTTCCTCTAATTTTTCGTTGAAATAAATATACAAAATTAGACAATTTTTAAATTTTATATTTGATTTAAGATGGCAATACATTTTTTAAGCTTTACCTCTTCTTCAAATTTTGTTTTTGTTTCTTGTAATTTTTGTTCCAAATTATTTTTCTCATCTTGATATTCCTGCTTTTTTTTAACCATTTTCTTCTCCCACTTTTCAACGTTCCTCTGACTTTTATCCAAGTTATTATCGTTTGAGGTCATGTGAGAAGCATCAGAGCCATTCGGTCGGTCATCAAGCTGTTGTTCTTGACTTTTATTAGATTTGTACTGTGCTTGATGTTTATGTCCTCTACGGAATTTAAGTTCTTCCGATTTTTTAATTTCAGTTTCTAAATTTGCATTTTTGTCAATTCCAGTATTTGCTGCAGCTTGGTCAGGGTGGCCATTGCTGCAACCTGTGTCAACATCCGTACCGGGGTGATTACTACCGGTTCTGGTATCTGTACCTTCACTAGTGTGACCATTATCGGTACCGGTATTTGATTCTAGTTTAGTCCTATCTTCATTGCTGTCAATTACATTATTTTGAATCTTTTCCTTCTTTTTCTTTCTCATTTTCAACTTATGAGACGAACCATTATCAATTTGTTCTTGATTATTTTCATTGGCAATAACGCTGTCGTTCAATTTGCCTTTCACAGGTGTCTTGTCACTTGGTTCCACTTTCTCGGACATTTTAAAATATCACACCAAAACCTCCAAAATCATATTATAAATCCAATGAAAGAGCAAAGGTTCCATAATATCAATTCCTGTATATTAAAAATAAAATAATGCAGGTAAACATAAGTGATTTTTAAGTGTTAGACCAAATGTAAAGGAGAGTGATTAAAGAAAATCTGGTGTACAGATTTAACAAATATTTTATTTTCAGCAAATTTTTTTTTTTAAATGGCTAGTTACTTTTAAAAATATATAGGAATCAATAGACACTATTAAACCTATTCCATATTTTTATATCCATGGTAGTAATACAGTACAACCCCCATTTGAGACAACTCTATTAAAGACACACCCCTACTAAGGGGACACCCATATTAAATGGACACTTTTTGGGACTAAAGGTGTTACCTTTAATAGGGGTTCTACTGTATCTATAATCAAATGGAAACTGTGATATATTTTTTAGATAAAAGAATAAAATAGCTAAAATACTGTAGCTTCATGGGGGCATTCAAAAGTAAATTAAATTTATGCATATGGGGTTTTTTCTACACTATTTTTAATTCAATAATATTTATTTCTAAAAAACAAATACATTACATAATCTCTCGATATATCATATCATTGAAAGAAGAGGAGGAAACAGAAGTTAACAAATTATTACTAGTAATAATTTTTAATCCTAATTCTTTAAACAAAATCTTCTAAAACTATAACTATAAAGAACCAGCCCGAACACTACAATAACAACATGAATCCTTTTAAACAAGAGTTCTATACATTCCAATTTGAGCTAAGAGTGCAGTGCTACTTAGCACTCTACATGAACTACTGCAGAGATCTACGTACTAATATTAACTATGTAGACATACAGTACCTTAGAGTTAAACTTAGGCAGACCAAAACTCAAAGACATTGAATTACCAACAAATAGAACAATTTACATATTTTAAACTGCATTTTGAGAAAAGACAAAGCAGAACTTGGCATCCAACAAAGTAAATGTATAGTATTCCTCTTATTGATCCCTAGCTCAATGTGTTATTCACATGCTAAGTGCAAACCCATTGAAATCTGGATTGACCATTCTAGTTGCTATGGTGTTATCTAAACTTCTAGCATGTGACCTTTGTATCTTGATATGCTTGAGTGATCATGGTATTAAGTAGGTGTAGGATATGGAATTAATTTGGGTGGTGGCATATTACATTAATTGATATGTAATTGTTATTGTGTTACAACCAACTACTCTTGTTATATGCAATCAATATGAATAAATGTACTGTAGAAATTCTATGAGTGTATGTTTAATTGAGGGTTTTTATTGAGAGTATCAATGTAGCTTCATATGTTTATATTAATAGTCAGAACTAACCAAAAAAGGCCTAAATAATAACAAAGTTGTAACAAATCACTTAGGCAAGACTGCATAACATACAGTAAGAAACACCATTCCAATTTTGTAATAAGCAGCTCTAATAATATGCACCTCTCACAATTTGAAAGGACAGAACACTGAGAAACAAAACAGTAATTTAAATATAATTATTAAATAATAATATATTAATAATTTAATTATAATTTACTTACCAAGTCATCCTTAGATATTAATATCATGTATTTAGTGCCACATATTTATTTTCATAATTTTTATTTTTGTATTAGTGTTTTTTAAAGTTGTTATGTGATGTCATAACTGTCACTTCTATTCTATCTACATTTTGAGTACTGAATGTGTCTAAAATATTAAAGAATTAATAAATTGTAAGACTGAATCATCAATCAATTTAATAACTTTCTATTAACAATTATTTATAGTAGATGGGGAAATAATAATACTGTATGGTAACAAATTAAAAAATCAATAATAAATATTAGTAACAATAAATATAATTCCTTTTCTGTAGTTTAAAAACCTAATAATCAAATTAATCTTTCATAAGGTTAATAGAAAATAAAATCAATTTTTCACAGAAATTTCTTGAAAACAAATATTAAATGCTTCCAATATATATGGCTATAAATAAATACTGTTAACATAACAAAAAGTGAGAATGTTTACATAAATATTAATACAATCAGTATAACTACAAGAATCAATATTTGTTGTGAAAACTTATTAAGATACAGTATCGATTATTTTTTTTAACTACTTCAAATTAATTCATTTTTTGATAGTAGAGAGATAGCAGAACTCATCACCTGATTTAATGGCAATAGAAGTACAGAACTGCGTTGTCATCATCAGTGTTGTTCTAATCACAAACAAAAATATACTCATATATTTGGTGAAATACAAAACAAACACAATGTAATTAAAGAATATTATTTACACATTACATATATATGCACTATAGTTATGAAAACAAAATCAAAATTTCTCTTTTTAAATAATTAACTCTGTACTGAAGCTAAATAATCCCTAAATTCCTAAATAATCATGAAATTTAAATAAGTCGTAATTACTAAACACCAACCTTGATAATCTCTAAAACGTAACAGGATAATTATTATTACACGGGTGTTTGATGCTCAAAGTGTGTCTAATAACACCTTGATGTCATCAGGTAGATCGGTATCTACGTAGACAGCTCATTAAAGAGAGGAAACTGCCGATTAATTGGGCTTCTCGTTTGATCAATAATTAGGCTTTGATTGCAGACCACATGTCCAAGTATTCGTCACACTTACTTAGCAATGTGACATCTAAAATACATTCAAGATTCAATATAACTTTATTGCAAATTTAAGGAAAATTTCAAATGTACAAAATAATTTAATGTAATAATATTAAAAATGTTTAAATTATTTAAAATACTCCAGTTAAATTTGTAAAAAAAAATCAAAAATACAAAATGGAAATGTACAAAACTTGAAATTAACAAAACAATCAAAAAGGGCATAAATAAGGGAGACATACGAAAAAAATAAACTCGTATCACCTTATCAACAAGTCCTTTTGGATCAGGGTGCTAGATCAAGGAAAATTTTATACAAAAGGGAAAAACAAAAAACAATCATCCCCTAGATACGACACCGAACATCCACGATATATATTAACTAAAATTTCAAACCTTCAAAAATGCACATCTACTATAATGAAAGTAACATCGACAGTGGTGTGTCTAGTCTAGAAGTCTTGAAATGGAGGGGTCTGATGGGGGAAGCGTGAAGGTGAAATGGGGGCTCGATGATTAAGTGAGGGGAGCTATAGCTTTCAAAATAAGGTCATACAAGTTGATTTTTAACTACTTGAGTGTGATTGTTCTTAACGAGGGGGGGGGGGGCGGTACCTTTTTTTTACACCCCTGGATACGCCACCGAACATCGATGATAACTACAATTACAATCTAAACCTTCAAAAATACATATATATTATGATTATTTTTGTTGGAAGAAATTATGAATAAATGTTATTGAAATTAATACTATTCTGTGGGTACAGTGGCATAATACCTACTGTATGCGCTCTCTTGCGACGGTCCACAGGGCCCCCATCCATGGGTCCTCAATCTAGCACCCTGATGCAAAGGGTCTATGTTGATACATAACAGCATAATGTGTCTCTGACATCAACTGTAGAACATAATTATATCCAGTGGCAGGACGATTAAAAGGGGCCTTGGCGGCGCAGGGTCCCCTACACCTGTTAAAAACAAAATTTTTTGATGGAGATATATCGAATTATATTCAAATTGTAAGTCTGTACGTGCCATTTTTGGCCATCTAAGGTGCCATAATCGTAAATTTTCAAACCTGAGCCCCAACTTGGTGGGACTGAACTGGTATAGACCCTCCATCTGTGAAAGTGCCACTGCTTTCATATCATTTTACTTCACTGTTGTTAAAAAATATCAATGAAAATACATGAGTACATCCCACAATGGAAGTTGTCAACCGAAAGGCCCAGTCTCAGAAAACCAATGGGACCCAGTCTCAGAAATCCAAAGGGCCCCCGGTTATCCCATCACTATCATTCCACTGTTTGTGTACCCTCTGAACATGAAGTTGAGCTGATTTTCAGGATGGGCTTCAAAACCAGGAACAGAAAATACTAAACACTAGTGATGCAACAGACCTAATAATTTCCTGACTAGAGCCTAGTCCGAAAGCTGGGCACTCACTGTTTCGTACGACGAACCCATCTCCGTACCATGTGAGTGCAAGAAGATGTAATGCCATCTGCTGATTGTCGTTGGCAATCTGTACAGATTGTCATCATTGCGTTCTTCATAGAATCGTGCGCCGTCTGCCAATGACCATCGTGTGTAGTGAGGGTCTGGCTTAATCCTACTTAACAGTCGAATAGAAAACTCGTAAATACTTGAAAAAACAAAATGACTGCATAGTTACCGCGATACACGCTGCGTATTTCAAGGCTGCTTTGGATTGTGGCAGTATGGGTTTTTCTTAAAAAAATGTTTTCATTCAGTATTTTAATTCTGTTAGCCTACAATTAATTTTTGACTTCAATGTGGGTAAATATTGTAATTTTTATTTTCTGAAATTTAATCTAAATTATATTAACGCAAATTTTGTTGCTAAACTGACCAATCGGCCATGTTTGTTTTGGTCACGTGCATAACTAACACTAATTAACGCATTCTGGTTACATTAATTTTCATTGTCAACGTAGTCTATTTTACGAACAAGTCGAATGAAAATAATACTCAACGAAAATTCAAAAATGAACCAGTCAAATAAGCCCATTGAAAATGCTTTGCATGTGCTACAAATGTGGTAGATGATATTTACCTTGGAAGTTAGTCGGTAAATTAGTTGTGGTTGCTAGCGTCCAATTCCAGGGCCCTTGGTTTATGATTTCTCATGACATAGAGTAAAAAAACACTTAAGACTATCTTTAAGCATTGTTCTATCCTGTAATTCATGGATCGTTCTGCTTAATAAGAAAAGCATCGTTGATTGTGCAGTCATATTAAAACTTAACCTTGGTATTTGTGTTTGCAGGATGCATATTCCTGGCCCACCCATTGAATAATGTGTTCTGATTGGTCAGTTATTAAGTTTGACTGACATCCCCGAAAGGTCCAATATTGAGTATACTGTACTTGTTGGATGTGCAGGAAATTCTTTTAAAACATAAAAATAATGGATGACTGTCTTCACATCTGTGGATAAATATAACTATAAATCTTCTCCAAAGCAAGTGGGCCGAAGCTTGCCTGATTAGTGGTGGGTACTCCGTGTACTGTAGGTGGACAAACCATCCAATCATTTTCGCCATAATAAAATGCCTTCAGCTTCACCAGCGATCTTACCGAAGCCGGTAGGTATGACAACTGATTCCTTTCAAGGTTTAACTCTTCAAGTTTCACCAGCAGTCCAATTTCTACAGGCAATGTGTGAAGTAAGTTACCACTCAAGTTCAGATGTTGCAACCTCCTTGCCAATCTTCCAGCACAAAGGGAACCTGGAACCTCCCGAATGAGATTGCTTCCAGCGTCCAGCATCCTAAGCGATCGCAGCTCACCGATCTGGGGAGCAAGTTCTATCAACCCATTGTTTGAGACTGCAAGCTTTTCTAAGTTCACTAAATAATTAATAGTACTCGGTATTGAATTAAGTTTGTTATAAGATAAATCAAGTTTTTTAAGTTCCTGGAATTTCTCTTTAAAGAAATCACCTGGTATATAATCTATAGCATTACTAGATAGATCCAAAGTACTTAAGTTGTTGAAATTTGTGAGAATGTTTGGTGGCTGTCCACTAATGCTACATTGATTTAAATACAGATGTTCAAGTTTTTGAAGTCGCATTAAAGATTCTGTGGGTAGACTTCCGAAGTTTATGCTTGATAACTTTAAAATCAAACTTGATCTCGCGTCCCTCATTTTATAATGGATAGTATTTCTGGTGTCTGTTGTAGAACTCATCTCATTTGCGTTTTCAATCCTCAATAATTCTAGCTAGGATGTCAATCTTCAGTCTTGTCGCTAAAATAAATAAGAAAATTATCATATGGTACTGGGGTGCGCATGATTTTATAATCCAGTAAATCGAATTTATGTTGAACATTCAAAAATTTGAATACAGGTTTCCTTCCCAATTAAAGACCACTTCTGGGACCCAGGGTTTTCCTGGTCATTAGCAGCTTGGTCTATTTAAAATAATAAAGATAAAAGAAATTTATTAATTTATTGGAGAGGTCTTTAGAGGGAGACCTGTATATGGCCATGATAATTCAGTGGACCAAAAACTTTTTTTTTCTTTTTTAAAAATGTAGGCAACCTAGGTTAATACCCATATTTAACAGGCAGTGGCTATTGTTACACCATTCTTAAACGACTTCATAACCCTGATGTTTCTGTCCTGTGTGGTAAATTGAATAAAAAGGATTAATAATGGATGTGCGAACAAATAAATCTCTCAAAAAACCTGTGTTTTCGCAGAGCCCAATTAAATCATAAAAGAATGATGTATAATGTGCTAGAATTTTCCGAATTCCAATTTTTACTGCTACTACTACTAGCTAGGCAGATCCCACCAGCCACACCATCGGCATGACTTTCCACCTAGTCCCCGTCGGTGAACAGGGGTGGCGCCAGCGGGAGGATGGGGGGGGGGCGACGCGCCAGGTCCCTTGTCGGGGAGAGCACCCTTTGTCCCATTCATCCATGGGGAAAAACCTTGTGCCTCTACTAAGGCTAGCTGTGAACACGACGGTCCCGAACCGCTGTTGTGGGTCACTTCGTAGGCTACCAACCAGCTAGGTAGCCGATCATTTCGGTCGCGCTTCGTTTCGGTCGCGCTTCGTTTCGGTCGCGGTATATTTCGAACAAATATATGGAGCGCCGAAGGAGTTGCGAAAACGAAAAATTTAATATATATATATATTCATGATTGCAACATGATCTTGTAATTGAAATAATGGAATTTAGTATGTGCTTCATACTATTCTTTTTGTTGCGTTTTCATATACCGGTACTATACTTTAATAAATGGTCAATAAAATGTATAAAATGATTTTAATTGAATTGAATATTGTTACCATCTGAAATCTATTTCATAATTTAGTTAAAACAATAATCATTCAATATTTAAACTGATCATTTTATACAATAAATATATTTATTTTTCTTGCAGCTTCCAGGGTTTGAATAAAAAATACCAAGAGAATTGAAGAGAAACACGAAGAAATAAACGAATAATACGCACATTATCACTCACTTGAAATCTTGAATACCCCTGCGCAGTTCATAAATATGAATATATATTTATATATGATTTTATCATATTGTATATACCTAGAAACCACTATATATATATATATACATACATATACATATATCTACATATACATATATATATATAATATATATA